AGATATTGTACGTATTTGCCGAGAGTTGAATTCTTTTTTGTCCGAAATATTTATCTTTCATTAAAAAATTACAAAATAATATGAGGGGAAAAAAATTGTATAATGTTTAAAATGTTTTATTTGAGCAAGAAAAATGTGTACATTTTTTTTTAATAATGTTTTTCGAAATTTGGAAAAAATGCATTTTTATGAGAGAAGAAATTTTATTTGAGTTGAATAAAATTTATTTGTGTCAGAGACTATTTATTTGTTTTCGCAATAAAGAAAAAAATTATTTGGTACCTATAAAAAATTTTTTTTATGGAAAATGAAATGTTTATTTCAAGTCAAATAAAATTTGTTTGAAATTTCAAATAAAATTTATTTGGCTTAGAGTAATTTATTATTTGAAAAAAATAAATATATATTTATTTACTTTAAACAAAAAAAATTTTTTTTTTGGCAAATAATATTTTTTATGGAGAACAGAATGTTTACTTTGTTAAATAAAATTCGTTTAACGTGAAATACAATTCTTTTTAATTAAACAAAATTTATCTAATTTAAAAAAAAATTTTATTTTAATTAATCAAAATTTATCTAATTTATACAAAATTTATTTTTCTCAAAGTCTATTTATTTGTTTCAAGGAAAAAAAACTTTATTTGGTAAAAAAAAATGCTTTTTGATAGAAATTTTATAATTTTTATTTCAAGGGGAATTTAATTTATTTTTAAATTAAATTTTATCTTTTCTAAAACCTATTTATTTATTTTAAAAAAATTATTTGAAACGATACATTATTTTTTTTATGGAAATAGAATTTTTATTTCAAGTTAAATAAAATTTTGTTGAAGTAAATAAAATTCATTTGAGTTAAAAAAAATTTATTCAGGTTAAATAAAATTAATTTTTTTCAGAGTCTACTTATTTGTTTAAAAAAAATTATTTAGCACAAACCAATAGTTTTTTGATGAAAATAAAAATTTTTATTTCCATTTGAATAAAATATATTTAAATAAAATAAAATTCATTTGAGTTAAAATAAATTGAAATTAAATTAAATTATTCGTCTCAGATATTATTTATTTGCTTCAAATAAAAAAAAATTATTTGATACAAATAAAATGTTTTTTAATGAAAATTTTATTTATTTGTTTAAAAAAATTATTTGGCACAAATGAAATGTTTTTTGATGAAAATAAAATTTTTATTTCAAGTTAAATAACATTTATTTCAATTAAAAATTTTATTTTGAATGAAATAAAATTTATTTGATTTTAAAAAATTTCGTAAATTTCGTAAATAAATTGTTTTTTTGATGGAAAAAAAATCTATTTTAAGTTAAATAAATTTTGTGCAACACCTGTAAGGAAAGTAATACTTTGCATGCCTGTAAAGTAGGCGCAAAACAGTACTTTGCTGCACTAGTGCGGCAAAGTGCTTATTTTGCTGCACTAGTGCGGCAAAGTGCTTACTTTGCTGCACTAGTGCGGCAAAGTTCTTAAACTTTTGGGTTTTTTTGGTGATATACATAGGTATTTGTTTTCTATTTGTAGAAGACCTGTTTTTTACAGTAATATACGCGTAAAAAACCATGAATATTACGTGCGGTAACATACGTTCCAAACCCTGCTAAACAGTACGTATGTTGGCGTCAACTAGCGTTTCCAAACAGCTTTTTTATCAAAACCAAAAGGTGTTGCACAAAGTACTGTGTGCAACACGTACGAAAGAAGATTTTCCAACTTCGTGCAAATTGCCGCCCTCGCTTCGCTCGGGACAGCAAACTTTGCACTCGTCGGAAAACAGCTTCTTTCTGTACTTGTTGCACAATATACTATTATTGTAATTAAATTACATTTATATGGATTAAATAAAATGTGTCTAAAAGACAAATTTTAAATGTTAATTTTTGTGTTTTGCTTTTTTAAGGCATAAATATTTGAAAATGTTTGTATTGGCAAAAAAATTGGTTCATTTAAAAACGTTCGGAACTTGTGGATCGTAAAAATTATTTGACCCAAATAAAATGTTCGTTTTTGATTAGAAAGAAAATTTTTTATTCGAGTTAAATAAAATTTATTGGAATTAAATAAATTAGTAGGCTCCGAGGCAAAAAGATCCTAATTCTGAGTGTATCGTGAAGGTATTTTCTCCCTTTTTACTTTAGAGAGACGTCGTAAAACTGAAAAATCAATTGTAGAAAATTCCTCTTTATCTCTTTCCTTTTCTGCCTCATAAGCCTCTTCGATTGCTTTACATGCGAGAAGGTACTTGAGACAGCCTAAAAAGAATCGCCGAGGGAAATTGCTTTAGCTAAAAATGAGAAAGAAGGAGAAAGTGAGAAAAAAGAGGGAAAATTGCAAATGGCTAAAGCTAGAAAATAACTAAAGGATAGAAACTTTAGAAAACTAGCCAGTGTCGTGTTCACAAGTTAGTGTGACTTTAACGATTGGCATAATGTTTGAGAGCCACCACCAGAAGGGAATAATAAATTTCTATTGTTTCAGCTTTATCTTCTTATTCTCTTCTCTTTTTTTCATCTTATTTTCAAGTGTCTAGAAAGAATACATAGAAAATATTAAAAAAAAAAAAAAAAATGAAAAAGAGATTTTTTTTTCCTAAAATAACTTCATCTCAAGATTCACAAAAGCATTCTTAGCACCTTCTCATCTCTCGAAATGCTCGAAATTTTCGCGCAAACACCTGTTTTTCATGGCTCAGAAAAATTGATTTCTCATATCTTTTCGTTTTTCTTTGCCTCTATTTTATTTTTTTATTTTTATTTTAAATACTGTCAGCAGTCTACAAAGAATCTAAAGCAATTCAATTCAAAGAAAATAAAGGGAATATTTTATATATTCTCAATATCGAAATTGGAAAAAGGGAAAATCCCATCTTTTCATGAAAATAAAATATATCTTTCCTTGTAAAAAAAATGTGATGTGAATATATAAAAATCTCTGATGGATCATTCTTTTTCTTTTCCTATTTATAAGAGTTTGGATATTTTGAAATTTTACTAAATTGCAAATATTGGAAAATGAACAATTTTTGTTTTGTTTTAAATACTTAAGGGGGAAATTAGGTAAATTTTTTTTAAATGCTTGGGTGAAAAAACAGTTTTTTTTACCAAAAAATTACCGGGATGCTAAAAAAAAATAATAAAATAGTTACTTCAAAGCCTTTCGTGAATGTAATTAGTTGCCTTTTCTCTCTCTCTCCTCGTAATTATTAAAGAAGCAGAGGAGAAAAAAAATCAGTAGTGTAATAGACGAATAATTACTGTGAACTATAATGTGAAATTAATTTTTTCTTTTAAACAATATAAAAAATAAATTCTTGTTATTTTTTCTTTTAAACAGTTTGGAAAAAAATTCTTGTTATTTTTTCTTTTAAACAATTTGGAAAAAAATGCTTGTTATTTTTTCTTTTAAACAATTTAAAAAAAAAATTCTTGTTATTTTTTCTTTTGAATAATGAAAAAGAAAATTCTTTTTTTTTCTTTTACACAATTTAGAAAAAAAAATTTTTAAATACTTAAAAAGTTATTTTTAAAAAAAGAGTTCACAAAATTAATGTCCTTTATTTAGAAAAAAGAAACAAAAATCAATAGACTATGTTTGTTGAAGGAAAATATTATTTTAAAAAAGAAAAATATGAGGGGAAAAATAATCCGTTGAACATTTTGAAAAATTTGTCTTCAAAGTTTATTTTTGTTAAGTGTAGGATTTTCTTTGTTTTTATATTAAGAAAATAGATACAGATTGTATTTCTGTTTCATTTGCAAATATACGGAGATTTTTTTTTATTTACTTTATGGAAAAAGGCATGGATCGATAAAAATGATCCCCGGAGAAATCACTGTAGAAAACTATGTCTGTCATGCGGACGAAAGGTCTTTAAAATTCTCTCTTTCTCTCTCTCCTCTCTCTCTCTCCTTTTTCAAAAGCCCATTTTAATATTTTATTCTTCCTCAATATCTTTTTTATTACATTTTTCTTCATTTTTCGAACAAAGGATTGACATTTTACGTAGAATAAAGGGTTGATCTGAAATTTACTTATGAAAATAAAAAAATTTCACAATGTATACAAATTTATATTATTGTTTACAGTTTATTTTTCAATAATAAGAAAATTATTTTTATGAAAAATATTTTTTAGCTAATATTTTTATTAGGTTTATTTTTCAATAAAAAAATTATGTTAATGAGAAATATTATTTTTTAGTTAATAAAAAATACTATTATTCTTATTAATATTTTTATTAATTTATTTACTTCTTTTACTTTTATTTACACAAATTGACAAGAAGACAAAAAGCTTCACAAAAAAGTAATAATTTTTTAAATAATTTTTTTAATAATAAATTTTATTATTTTTTAATAATAAAGAAAATTATTTCAATAGTAAAAAATATTTTTGTAATAAAAATAATAGACAAAATGTCACTCTGCCTCCCGCTCATAAAGGTGAAATGAATTTTCCCCTAATGTAAATTACATATGCAATACATATATGTGTTTAGGAAATTAATTTCCCAAATTACTGAAACTTGTTACCAAAACTTTTGAGCAAAATTGAAACGCATCCTTTAAGTACTACTTGAATTTCCAGGCAGAACCGTGTAACTTGTTTTCAAAGTAAACTTTTCGAATTTATAAAAGAACTGTTTCATCTTTGCCTATAAAGTACCAATTACAGGGAAACTTTTTTATTTTGATTAAAAAAAATTAATACAAACCATTTTTTTTAACATCATTTAATACTAAAGAATAAAAATTATTTTTTTCTTTTTGCAAAAGAAGACTTTTTTTAAAATTAATTGTTAAATAACATTATTTGTAATAAAAAAGAAAGAAAAAATAAAAAAGAGAGAAAAATTAAATTCCAATTAAAATTAACCCTTTAATATTTAAAAGCCACGGGATACTTCCGGTTTCCTTTAAAATATTACAAATTTTACACGGCAGGTGGCAGCAGCTCGTGGCATTTTTCATATGCACACACACGCATATATAGTCGAATGATCCTGTCATTTTGAAGTAACCCTCAATTTTTTTTAACCCTCGTGTCGTGTGTATACGTTATGTTTTCCAAATCTTTACAATATCAAAAATTTACTTATCAAGATTATTGTAAATTACTACAAATGAATAAAATATGTCTATCATAATAATACGAAAAGTAAGTGAATTCTGTCAATTTTAATGACAACAAAAATTTGTTATATTTACGTTTTAATGGGTGCATACAAAAATGGCGTCAAAATAAACATTCTGTTTTTTTTTGGCTTTTGGAAAAAAGTTATTTTCTTATTTTTCTCAAAAAAAAAAATAATTGAGAGGTCTTTTATTCTCGGAAATATTCTTTCTTGATATTCGTACTTTTTGTGCAAAGTGAAATTTTCATAATTTATTTTTTGGCACATGTTTTGAAAATTTTATTTTTTAAAAAATTTGTTTTATTTTTCGTTTTTATTCCTTCGTAATTTTATGATTGATTTCAGTTTGGAGAAAAATATTTATTTTCGACTGAAACATAACCTAGTATTTGTATTCACGTTTAGTTTATTTTTCCAAAAAATAATAACTTTAGATATATTTTTCATTTCTGATGCAATGTTTATAAACATTTATTGTACGATTTGAGTAAATTATCTCGAGGATTTGGTTTTATTTTATCCTGACTGTAAAAATAAGAAACCTAACCTTCAAATCTTTATTCCCAAAAACACTTTTCTTATTCTTATTTATAATTACGATTATTATTTATTCGTCTCAAGTTAAATAAGTAAAAAATCTATTGTGTTATTATTTCTCTCGTGGCGCTATTATTTTTGCCTCAATTTAAAAAAAAGTTTTTCCAAATTTTATTTTTGATTAAATTTTCTAAATACAGAAAGTAAATTGTTTTTGTAATTTATGGAAGAGACGTGAATGTCACGTGCTTTGAAAATGAAAGTTTTTTTACTTTTTACTCATTATGTAAAATGAAATTATATTTGTTCTGTGCTAAATTTGTGGACGATTTATTGGTTTCAGGGGCTTGAAGCAACATTGAGTGACAGCAAAAAGAAATACGGCGACAAGGTGAATGCACTTTTGTCCGCCTGGGAACATGTCACCAATTTTATTCCTGCGGCATCCCCAGATACAATTCAGGCTCTCATAGAATGGGCCCACAAGTCAGTATTATATTTTTAATTAAATTTACTTTTTTAAATCAAGTTTCACGCTCTAAAAGACGTTCTAAATTTTATTCTAAAAGAATAAAGAGCATTTTTTTCAATTGATTTATCTCGTTGCATTCGAAATATTAATATTCATTATTTTCTTCTATAGATTCAGGAGAGAATAAATGATAAATTATTGTTTTTGCAAACTCTGCTCTTTGAAACTATTTTAATTTTATTTGCCTTTAATTAATAATATTTGCATATTAAATCGATTTATCGAATATATTAAGTAGAAAGCAATCATTAAAGATATTAATGAGAAAATGGATTTTATTGCAGACATACGCTGAAATTGGTATTGCGTGGGGAATGGCCAAAATTGCAGAATGCAACAAAGACGCACCTCAGTGTAACGTTAAAAAGGTGCGCGGAAAACCTGGAGAACCACCTCGCATCCAGGTGCACAACATTAGTCGATTTGGTGCACAATCCTTGGTCGAACCCTGCCCTCGAGAAAATACTTAACGGGCAACCGGATGGCGAACATGAAGAAGGTAATTACTTGACAATATCAACAAAAATTCTCCATTTACGACTCTGGTACTCATGTTTTTAAATTTTCAGAGTTCTGTTGTTCGGAAAAAGGCGAGTTATTGACAATGAGGTTAAAGATACTTTGCGAAGACCGCTGTGAGGACATAGCGGTTAATCTCGCAGCAGCTTGTGTCCGATCGCTGAGTAGAAGCGAAGCTCTACGTTCTGCTTCTGAACTCCATCATGTTCAATATATGATTGATGTGTACATTGTCCTCTTGTTCAAATTGAAACGCACGCAAGACATTTTCGCTCAAGTGAGTCTCGAAACAAACTTTCTTTTTCAAAATTATTCAACTATAATGATAAAATACTAATGTTAATTTTCTTCATCAACAGTTAAAATTAATGAACCTTGAAGATGGACTCGAACTTGTTCAACGACTCAGCGGCGAGAAACCAACAAAATACGGAAAGGCAAGAGTTTGGAAAAATTCTGCAAAAGCTGCCGAATTGGTCGTACAATATCTCGTGACCGTTGGAATGGTTCGTCCTGTATCCGATACCGGTGCAAATACACTCGAGCAAATTTTAAACTCCTGGGCATTGTTACATTCGAAATTAAAAGAAACTGCATCCACTTTACCTGGAATGATTCGAAAATTAATAGAACCCGCGGAAAGTGCTCAGCATATTTATATTTTGTGCACAGTACTGATGAAGCACGTAAGTTTTCAAATTTCCTACTTTATTTCATTTATTAAGCATGATTTTTCTAATTCGGTATTTCTTATTCCAGTTTGGAGTGAGTGTAAAACCTCTCGTGATTGAACTTTACATTAGAGCATTGACCACGGATATGAACGAATTGGAAAGTCAGAAAACAAAAGCAGACAAGGAAAAAGCTCGTGAAACAGCAAAGCGATTAAGTGTGCAATTTTTAAAATTAGCCGATTTTGTTGTTAGTAATATTGGCATTGCCAGGGAATGTGTACTAACGGCATTTTCATTAAATCCCACAAGAGAATGTTACGATAGAATAAAAGAAATTGCTATTGCTTGTGGGAAAATTAAAAAGGAAATCGATGTAAATGGAGAGGATGAAGAGATTAAGAGGTTTCAAAACATGTCAAATAGCTCGATAAATAATGTGAATGAGAGAAAAGATATTTCTACAGTGGGCGATTTTAGTACAACAAATTTGGATGGTAATGTGGAAAATTTAACATTGTCCTCGATGTGTGCATCTACTACTGCTACTCAAACAATAAGGAAAAATATTGAACTTCAAAGTGAATCGAGCAAGAGCTTCCAGAATACAGACGAGATACTTAAAACTCTTCTCACGACAACCATTAAAACTGAGGGGATAAAAGTCGAAAATTGTACTTTACATCCAAAAAGAGATCCATCATTAAATGGACCTATCGGTGAATTATGTTTCAATTGTGGTGAATTCACTGGAATTGAACCTACTCCAACATCGCCTGAGATAAATAACGTGGAGAGAACACTGGACGCTTTGATTTTAATTAAAGGTGATGCCGTTACGGGTTCGGCCAATTACGACGAGAAAACTGTGCCAAATCAAGTACTAGATGCGGAGAAATTAGGATTATCGCCGCAACTTTGTGATGATCTTGCAGTAGTTCTTAGTAGTCCAAGATATCATATGCTCAGTTGGGTTTTGGATTGGAATGAGTTGAATAATCTTTGCGAGAGGTATCTCGAGAATGCTGAAGAAATGCGCAATACAAATAAAGAACTGAAATATCTCAATATCGATTATTCACAATTTAAAGATTGGCCGACGGAAGATGAATCGAAAGATGAATTTTTTGGCATTGAGAAAGGCTACGAGCAATGGGCCGACATTCCTTCGGATTCGTCGGAACAATTTGGAAGTTTTCAACCAGCAGGAAACTACAAGAGGACTACAGCTCGACGCAGTCTGGACGACACGACTGATTCCGAAAGTGAGTGCGTTGTTCCAGTCCGGAGGCGTGGAAGACCGAGAAAAGTCCATCGCGTCGTATCGTCGGAAAGTGATTATGATAGTACTGAAAATAAACCAAAACATTTTATAAATAGAACCTTGTCAGTATCAGATAGTGATACAAATACTCAAGATAGTCAAACTGATAGTTTAGGCAGCGATGGATTTAGGCCAGTTGCGAAAAAGTCGAATAAACCGTGTGGCAATGAACAGAGTAAACAACGTGGAAAATCGAAATTAACTCTGGATACGGTTTCGCATTTTCATATGCTCGTCAATGAAGCAATGCGACATCCCGCGGAAGATGTGAGTGGTTCGGATGTCAGCAGCAATGACATTATTACCCTCTTCTCGGCCGATCTTGATGAAAACAAAAGAGAAACAATTAAAGGTTCTAGTTACACTGCAGCGGCTCCTCTTATTATAACTGAGAAACGGAGTGACCCTGCTGTTTTGAAATCACTGAGAATGTTTAGGCCGAAGAATAGTAAAAAGCCGAGGCTTTCGCAAATATTGCAGAAAAATTTATTGAACAAAAGTAAAGATAATAATAATATTAACGATAATTCAAACAGTCCCACGAAATATGCACCAATGCTCAGTACATTGAATCTTAATCCAAAGATTGTTCTCACTAGAACCGATGATGTCCAAGGAAAACGGAAACCAGCAAAGAAACAGTTCAACGGAAACGATCTTACGAGCAAGCTGATGAACATTCAGAAAGCAATACCTTTCCATCAGAACAAGAATATGGTGGCATTCCAGAAGCAGAGAAATGGACGTGTCAACAGCAACGCGGGATCTATGGATGGTTGTTCCGTCAAGTCCAACTTGGGTAAGACCAAGTTCGATATTCTTGCGCAGGCAGTTAGGGACTCTGATATACTGGCGAAAAATGTTCCCGGGCTGAATTCGTTAGACATGATGGTTCCTCCAAGAGTGCAATCCACTGTCAACGTCGTACAACTTTCGAGAAATATTCCACCGAGTCCCAACACCGTGTCAGGAAATAGCGGAAACACGCCGCCGAGAAATCGCACCTCCAGCAATACAGGCAACATTCAGTTGCCCGGCACACCGTCCTCGGGTGGACACGACAGTGGCGTTGGAATGAGTCCGGCAGGTCAGACCCCTCCGCCCAGGTCGTCGTCCGTGCACGACGTCGGGGACGAGGCTAATCAACCTCCGGACGCTTCTCCCACCGACTCGATCAACGCCTCAACTCTTGAGCCCGACAGTCCTCGAACAATTAACAACCAACGTTCCGCTCAGAGTCAGTCTCCGAAAAAGTCACCTTCACCCTCAACCACAACGGCCACGACCGTGCCCATCGGCTCCGAGCAAATACAAATTGTCTGCAAACCCGACGGCACCTACCAGCTTGCCTCCGTCAATCCGAATATTCTCACCAACCAGAGAAGTGTCCTGGCACTGCAAAACCTCGACGACGGAACCGTCGGCTTCTCAAGGCAATTGCAGCGCTCCGCCGACTCGTCAATTGTCGTCAATCGGAACACCTTCGACAGGCTCGCGCCCATCAAGGCCACTTCTCAAGCCGGAGTCAACACCGGCCTGCCGAAATTCCAGCACGCCTTCGGGAAAACCATTTACACTCTATCGACTGACACCACGACAGTTGCCGCATCTTCCACGACCGAAACCATCACGCAACCAACGAGCGTGCAGAAGGCCACCAATCTCTCCAAAGCCGTTCAGACGTCGGTGCCGAGCACCCAGGCCAACGCCGGACTCAGCATACAGTCCATCGCCGGCGTTCCGAACCTCCAAGTTTCCACTGGTCGCCAAATACTAAACATCGTTCAGAGTTCGTCAGCCAGCAGCACCACCACTCCCACTGCTACCCAAACCCTCACCCAACTCGTCCAAAGCATGCATAACGCTTCTTCCGGTGTAATCTACACCCACAAAATACCCGTAACCATATCCACCACGAATCCCAGCCAGCTCAATATCATCACGCCCACCAATTCACTAACCGGAAACCGAACGCCAGTCGTCAAGCTCAACATCATCAGGGCGCCGATCCGGCAGCAGAACATCGGCACCATCCAGGCGGTGCTCGCCACTCCAAGAATGCCGCAGCCGACCGTCAGGCCCGAGACGCTCATCAACGCTCCCATCGACGTTCCGAACCAGGTCAGCTCAACCACCCTGGAGCAACTCCGCGAATTCGAGAGTGTCCTCGAGCAAGTCAAGGAGCGCAGCACGATCCAACCGCAGAACCAGAACACAACCACCACCACCGTTCAGACCCAAACTCAAACCGCGCCGAGTCCCCAGCTGACCCAAACGAAACCAACTCAGCAAGCCTCGGTCAGCACTCTGACTCAACAACTCCTCATCCCGACCCAAGCCGCCAACAGTTCGAAATTCAGCAACGGCAACACCGTCACCTTCCCCGACTCCTTCTCCCAAAAAGTCTCACTCGCCTACGTCAACCAAACCTCAACGCCTCCGAAAGTCACCAACTCCACTCCCGTCGTCGTAGTGACGAGCTACTGTCAACCCGCCGCCTCTCCCGCCCTCAGCGTCACCTCCCAGAGCTCCTCCAGTCCCTGCGTCACTCCCGCTCCCGCACCAACTCCAATCCCATCCGGCAAAACACCGCCCACCGCTTCTCCAAAGTCCTCGAAAAAATCCACCCCAAAGACTGTCAAAACAAGCGCCACCAACACGGCAAAGGCCTCGCCGATACCAAAGCCCCAGCAAAAGCCCCAAGAGGACGAGAAAACAGCGCAAAGAATCTACGCCATCCTCACCCAATACGCCGAACAACTCCGCAACTCTCCCGATCTCAACAACAAACCAGCGCCCCGAAGACGCTCCAATCCACCCACAAATCCTAGTCAATCATCAAAACGAAAGAAGTCCAGCTCCGGCAAATCCAAATCATCCGGTCAACAATCCTCCGAACTCAGCCCCAGCGCCGAGGACCTCGGCCGAACAATGGGCAGCGAAGACTCCTCCAGCGGCATCGCCCAAGTGCAAGACAGTCCAGCCGGCTTCACCACCCCCGACGAACCCTCAACAGCAGCCAACGACTCGACCCCCGAGAATCGCACCACCACCGACTCCAACGACGGCGTCGAACTCAACCAATCGATCAAGAGGCGGAACCTCATATTCACCGAGCCGAGCACCGGCGGCCAGCGCGCCGTCATCGTTCAAGAATCCGTTCAAGCCGGCTCCGTGAGCGTTTCCGAGGCTCTAGCGTCCGTCACCGGGAAAATGGGTAGCACAGCCGTTCTCATGTCAGGTAACTACCAAATTTTACCAATGAATTTAATGAAAGGTGCCCAGCAATTTACCATAGTCTCCGGAGGTTCGAAATTATTAGCAACAGTCCCAGCGACCGTACGTACAACCGGAACCAGCGGCGTCTCAAATGCCCTCGTTCTCCAAAGTTTCCTCAATCAGGGTAAACTAATATCCCAACCAACTCAAGTAAAACAAGTGAAAATTCCCACTCTCCAATCATTGACAAATCAAAACACGCAGAGTGCAACAATTGTCATTCCTCAAAGCCCAGCTCAATTCACCACCGACTCTATCGAGAAAAGCAATGAGTTGAAAGAAACCACAACTCAGAATACAATTTTGGTGAATAAGACAATTGGTCTCATTCAAAGAAATTTAACCGATGTGGGCGGTGTTATAACCAGTAATCCACTGCAAGGCGCACGATTTTTTAACTCAACCATCGCAAAATTATCCACACCAGGCGAAATTAAAACCGAGAGTGTTGTATGCTTAGCGTCGAGTGTAAATAATCAGGAAAAAAGAAATCACGATAATTCGACGACGGAGGGGAAAAGTGTCTCCATACAGAATGCTACAATTGCATTGGCTTATGCAACGCCAACTGAAGTTTCTGTTATTAATTCAACACATCAAAGTAAAGAAGTAGCGACGGAAATTTCTGGTAGTGATAAAATTATTTCACCTAAAACTGTTAAGAGAAAAATTGATGATACAACAACAAGTTTGTCTGAGAATATTCCAAGGATTTTAATTGCTGGAAATAATGCGGTTACAAGCGCAATTACAACACCGCTACAGGCTAATATTAAACTCGGTAAGAATAAAAAAAAAATGGTGTCTATTGAGAAATGACAGAAATGGAAAATTCGCTTGTGTGTTACATTTTTATTCGATGGACTGCAAACTTTTTTTTGCGTTACATTCATTTTTGGCAAAAAAAAAAAAGGAAGGAAGAGCTTGATTTGTAGCTTGAGTTTTTTTTCTATGCGATTAGATCAACTTTTTTTGCACGATTCGCTTAGAGAAAAATTACATTTTTATGTAGTTTGATTTTTTGGCTAATTTATTTTGTTTTTCAGATTTGGCGATTTTTTTGTTTAATATGTATCACTTTTTTTCAGCGATTTATATTTTGCGCACATTTTGTTTGTTTTTTTATTGTATTTCAATGACAGAAACTGAAGATTTTTTTCTAATATAAATACTTCATTTTTTAAAAATTGATTGAATTATTTTTTATTATTTTTTATTTATTTCAATTCTTTTCTTTTATTTTGGTAAATTCAATTTTTAAATAATTTCAGATTGAAAATTAAAAACTTTTTAATAAAATCCTTGGAAACAATTCAATTATTTTTATAAACAATAAAATGCTTCGCTAAAATTTAATTATTTTTAATACAATTTTCATCAAATTTCCTAACTTTTTAATTGTTTTCAATTTTATAATTATGAACATCATTGAATTATTGCAAAAAATGTTATCAGAAAATTTGAAAATAATTGAATTTCTTCAAATTATTTATGAATTTTTTTATGAATTCGAATTATTTATGAAAATCATTGAATTATTACAAAGAATTTTATCTAAAAATTTTAAAATAATTGAATTCCTACGAAAAATTTTATTATTTTTGTAAATAATTGAATTGTTGCCAAGATTTTTATTATTAATGTGAATAATTGAATTCTTGCGAAGAATTTTATTAAAAGTTTTTAAAATCCTAATTAAATTCTTAAAAAAAATGTTATTACAGTTTTTGTAAATAATTAAATTCTTTTGAAAATAATCTAGTTTATTTCAATAATAATATAAGTTATATAAGAATAATAAGTTTTCTGAAAAATTATACTGAACATTTTTTCAAGAATAGTGGAATTTCCTAATATAATTTTCAAAAATTGAAACAATTGGAAATTTTGTTCAATTTCATTAAAATAAATTTTTTATTTTTTAAAGAATTTCACTTTTCACTTGATTTATGAAGAATTGTGTTTTTGTTATTTTATTGCAATATTTATTACAAAATAAATTAGAAAAAAATATTCATCTTCCATTTCTTTAGTAAATTGGAGCTTTTCTTCAGGATTTTTTACAGCTATCAAAAGAGTAAATAAATGTTGCTTATTTTGTTGATTAATCGACATTATTTATCGCCTGCAATTAAGAAAGAATTCGATAAATAATGGGAGTAAAACTTAGCCCAACTTTTGTATTCTTCAGTAAAAAGAAATTTAATCTTTAAATAAATGTTCATTTCAAAAAGATAAAAAATAACTATTTTAAAATTTTAATTAAATATTTGAATTAATTTCTCTTAAAAAAGGAAATCCGAAAGTATGGAGTTTGTCGAATTCTTTCCTTAATTTCATTTTATGTAGTAATTTTTAAGTTTTCATTGTTATTTTGACATTTTATGGAAACTCATCTCATTTTTTATGTTTCCACGTGTAATTGCGTTGTTCTTGATTATTTTTACATTTATTTACATGTTTGCAGCCTGCTTTAATCATTATGTTTAGATGTATTCATTGTTTACATGCAAATATTCTCATAGAAAGAAAACTAGTTTTACATAAGTCTCAAATCGAGTGGTTGACTTTATTTGTTTTTCTCCTGACAATGAATAAATTAATTTTTAAAAATTTAACAAATTCTGGAATCTAATTGAAAGAAATTTACATATTTAATATTAATGAAATTTAGAAGCATATTTTCAAGCATTTGAAGAAACATATTTGAAACATTTAAAGAGCTTTAAAACATTGGAAAATGATGGAAATTACAAAAAAAAAGTTGACAATTCGATTATGATGTATAAATTTTTTTTAGCTGTTTGGTACTTATTTGAAAACTTTTAAATTGAGGATTTTAGTTTAGAAAGCATGATTAGAGAAATTATTTTCTAAAGACGTTTTTTAAAATTATTTTGATCAAGTTTTTAATTTTTTACTAAAATCCTCGATTTAGATAAGCTTGAGTTTTTTTTATTAAAATTGTAGCACTTTTTTTGTTAATTCTTAACTTTGGATTTTAACAATTTTATCTTTTTTAGAACCGGGTACAACAATGTCTTCTGTGAGCAAACAGGTGAGCAACTTGGAGAATGCGACGCAATTTCTTATGACTGGTGGTCCAAGCAGTTCCGACAGTCAACAATCACCAATAAGACAATCAATCGATTCAATTGACACGTCTGGAAAAATTGGAAATGGAATTCTCTGTGGAAATGCAAGATTACAAGAAGCCTGGGAACCGGACAGGAAACCATCGCCCGACACACCCTGGAGATATGTTCCCACGTCGAACAACTCTTTAAACATCGAACCCTATAAAATTTCATCAAGGGACTCGGAGAGTACGGACAATGTCCTGCAAATCATCAATAAAAATCAAACCATCGAATTGGCCAGTGGCAATGTTTTCCAGCCGAATGCAAAAAAGTACTTCATTAATCATTCTCTCGAAACGTATCAACAGTATTCGAATAAAAATAGTCTCGCAAAGTCACATCCAAGTCAGAGGGAATTATTGCAACAGCGAGCGGAAAGAAAGAACGCGGCTCTAGAGCGTGAATTGAAATTACAAAAAAGTTTGTCCGAAGAGTGTGAGGATCTTGGAGTCGACGAGCCAAGTACTAGTGATCTATTTCCCGAAGCCGATTTACTTTTCGATAACAATCATTCACCGTCGTTTGATCATTCCTCGCAGGACGCGTCCTGCAGTCAATCGCTTGGCATCAAACCCTACGGATCGTCTTACTTTCGATCCTTGGATTCGTCGAGCGGCAGTAGAGACGCCAGTCCAATTGCCGATCTCAAGGCGAACGAACGCAGGAGAAATGTTGTTCAACGAACGAGAACACTGAAGGACACTGTGAAGCGTGCAAAACGCGAAAAAGTCGACGAGTTACACGTGGTAAGTCCAGTGAAACACATGAGACTCAGTCTCGACAATCTTAGTCAGGACGATGCTTCGAACAGTAATTCCGACTTGTCCCGATTGTCGCCTGGAAACATTCCCTCGACTGAAAACGACTCTTCCAAAGATAATACAACTTCCAGGCCAAAATTGAATTCAAGACGTGGATCAAAGGAAGGCACTCCCAGTAGTCTGTCAAGCACTCCGTCGAATATCAAACTCGACATCGACATCGACACTCAATCGCTAACCGCTGAAGTCAATACCAACAACACGTCAATCACAAGTTCGGGGGACGAGAGTCTCACGCTCCTCGGCAGTAACACTGCCGACGTGACAATTCCATCGCCTCTCTCGCCAATCGCCGGGCCATTGCTCTCAACGCACAAATACACCTATTCAAACAAAAAACGTGCGACCACGAAAATCACGAGGACCGAATATCTCTCCTGGGAGAGTCCAATGTCGGAGAGGACAAGATCGAGCAGTGAGGACGACGACTCGAGTATTAATGAGTCACTCAACAGTCAACCGGAGGATAATACCATGACGAACGGTCTCGACGACGTGGTGCGCAATGTCAAAATCACCAGCGATCATTGTACTTACCTGAAGGCCAAGGACAAGTTACATGTGACGGCGCGCGTCGTCCTGAATCGCGCCGATCCCAAGCACATGCTCGCCAAGAGATTCAAAACCGACTCAATTGCCGAGGCGAACGTCATCAGTGACAAAGCATCCGAACCATCCGACGACGAGACGAGTCATCACAATACGTCAGTCGAGCCCGACTGTCGGGCAAGGCGATCGAGTCTTCGCGGCCACGTCAAGAAGGGCTGCGCCTGCTGCAACGGCTCGCCCGAGAGGCCAAAGAAAAAACCCGTCAAGCTCGATCACAAACTGAAGAAGAGACTTTCATCGAAGCAATTGGGCAAGAAAAGGTAGTCCTAGCAATTATACTCTGATTTTAATATTCTCCGATCATTTGTATTCTGATTCGACACATTTCTTACTTATCTTTTAATTCAAAAAACTGAAATCAGAAAATTTCGATCGAAAAAAATCACAAATTTGGGATAAATTAAAATCGAGAACGATTTTAATTTATCCCAAATTTGTGATTTTTTTCTGATTTCAGTTTGAATTATAATGATAATCGTAATTAAATGCCCGGTGCTCGTAATTTTTAAATTTCTCGAGAAAACAATTCTTTAAATTAAAGGATGGAAAATTCTCCTTTTTGAATATTAATAGAAATAACGTTGAATATTATTATCTCGCGAGGGTTTAAGAAAAAAAAACAATTTATTAGAATTCTTGATAAGAGTAGAGGTCATCCTTTTACTTTTAGGTGTTAATACAATTCTAGTGATAGTGTGAATCATTTTGTGAATGACAGAATTAGAATTTAAAAGAAAAAAAATGCAACTAATTAAGAAACATTTAGAAATGCAATCTAGTCAAAGGGTGTGAGGCTCGTTGGATGAAAATATGTAGAGAGAGAGAGAGAGGCGAAATAATCGATTTTTTTTCCTAAAAAAGAAGAAAAAAGGGAACTTATCTGCAGCATCCATCATGTGATGCAAAAATAAAAATTTTGCGACAGATTAATCGGGCCAAAGATCAAATGTTTCGTACACATTCCGTTTTTCAATCGAGACCATCATCTTTTTTTTCAAATCATTTCTTCATTCATAATTTTTCTATTTATTTATGTGTAAACTTTTAAATCATCAAGTATTTCGATTTAATTTTGAAACTACAGTTTGACTTTAGTGTATACCCTCAGGGATTCTGTTAACTTGTTTTCATTAATATTATTTTCTTTATTGTAAATATTTTCATAAAGAGAAAATTCGTAAAAACATTTTTCTTCATTCTTTCCACTTGTGAAGGTTTATTTTTATTTTTCTAGTTTCTCTTTTTTTAGACGGAAATCTTAAGTAAATTTGTGATCTTTATTTTCCGTGCCATTTTTTTCGTTCGCTCGGAACGAATCTGAGATACTTACACTGTAGTTTTCTAATTAACGGTATTATTTAATATATATTCGTGAATGATTTATGACGATGATTAATGAGTCGGATCACTTGTCTTTTCTGGCCTGATTGTCACACACAGTGCATGTATAAAAAAAATTCATACTTGTACATTATTGTAGACTGCATAGATAAACTCGTTAAAAAAAATTATATTACATCGCTGCACTTTAGTACAAATGCTTTGTCTGATTTAAAAACAAAATGAAAAAAAAAAGAAAAAAAAACAACAACTACAACAATAATAAACATCATGTTTATAATCATATTTCCACGTGCCCTTGTGATGTGTGAATGCCTGCAGTTAATCATTTAATTACCGTATCCACTTGTGAAAACAAAGACGGTGAAACTTGCAATGTTTGAAATTTAATATATAAATAAAAAAATATATATAAACAAATATATATATTATAGTTAGTCTATTTACAATATATTGGTATTTATATACGTTTTATAGCTGTAAATATTTGTTTTTGTTGAAATCAAAGAAAAAAAAAAGTTGTAAACAAATGTTTTTTGGATGTACTTCAAATTAGAATTACGTATAGAATTAAAATACTTATCAATAACTCGAAATGTTGATTGATTTGACTAAAAAAAGAAATACTCGAGTTGAATAAATCGGGTAATTAATATTTCAATTGCAAAATAATTTTTAAATCTTTTTTATATGAATTTTTGTGCTAATAAAAGAATTGTTCAAAAAGTTTGACTTTATATCAAGAATATTTATTTATAAATTGAAAAAATTTCATATTTAAATTTTCATATTTAAATTTTCGTAGTTTTTTCTTATTTTTTGATACAATTCTTTCCTTGCTTTTTCTCTACTTATTTTTGTTGGTTTCACCGTCGATTTGCAAAATGCCATTTTTCTCGTTTTTGCGTTTAAATGTTGTAAAAATGCGAGATTTTTGCTATTTCTAAAAATTAAGAGCGACAACTATCTTCCTGTACATTAAATAATGAAAAAAAAATTTAGAAGAAGAAAAAAAAACTTGTCAATAGACGCGTATTTTTGAACTTCAAAGACTTAAAAACAAAAAAAATCATATTTGAGAAGTGAGAAAAGGAAAAAAAAAATATGATGAAAATTTTATTTGGCGGTGATAGTGCGGCCTTTTGCCGTTCCTTAGTCGTACCAACGCATTTATATGATAAGAACATGAAAATAAAGAAAATCTTGTAAACGCATTAAGTAATAAAAAATTTTATCGTAAGACAGCAACAAAGTTTTCCAAAGTTAGATTCAGGTACTTAAGATGCTTAAATGCTGTTAAGGATAACTTAGATTTTTTGTAATACGTACATTTCTTAAGGTTCAAGATTTGTCACTTAAAGAAAAATGAAAAATAACACTTTACCAGTATTTGAAGCGCTATACGTTGTACCGTAGCAAGAAAAGCGATAATTCGAAATGAATTTATAAAAAAAATTGAAGACCGATAAACTGCGAATTGATAGGTATTGGTCAAGGTATTGTCGTTTAGCACAAATTACTATAGAATGACAAAGAAAGCAAAAAATAATAATGATAAATGAACGAAATAACAAGTGTAATCAGTCAAAAACAATATACTCTTTCTTGACAACTTATCTCCGATTTCGAAGAAAACATTTTAGACAGTTTCCGATATTTATTAATTCTTTCTATACAAACTTAATTATAATATTTAAAATCAGATATTGTGAATTAAATAGAAAGACCTTGAATTATTAAATTATTTATTTTTAATAATTATTAATAATTAAAACAAAACTGAGTATTTTGATTTTGATTGCTTGATTTTTGAGACAAACTAACAGCTTACGGTTTACAATTTAAAAAAAGAAAAAAAACTGCTCTGTAAATACCTAAATAATAACAAGAAATGAATGGTTCTTTTTCTAGAAATTAATGTACTATATGAATGATACATAAAAAAAAATTATAGTGACATGTAATAAACGATGATGTATTTGTTGATGAAGCGCATTAGTATTGGTACTACTATATCAATTAAGATAGTAATTTATATATATACATAAATATATATATAAAAAAAATTATGTATGAGTGTGAGAAGGAGAAATGCACAAAAGACGTGAATTAAAAAAAAACGTCTCAATATAGTCGTTGTTTGTCGCGAGTACCAAAACGTAAATGCGACAGCGGTTGCGAATGAATATCAAGCGAGAGAATGGAAAAAAGAAAATAATATCGATTTCTTTTACGGCTTATAAAAGTAGTGTCCCGTCGGTTTTATCTGTCGAATAAAAAAAAAACTAAATACTCAGTGGATATGACTGTACAGCGTATCGATGAATACTTATCTGAAAATAATACATATATCCAAGAAAAAAAAATAATTCCTTTTTCAAGTGGAAATAATGAGGATAACATATTGTAAATAATATTTTCTATATAATGGACACGTCGTTCAGTAAGATCGACGGTTCGACAAAAAAAAAAACCTTGCAATATTATAATAATTCTTTCAAGTGATAGGATAGTGTTTAATCGTTTTATGTAATGTAACGAGAGGGTATGGCAGAATAAAAACGAAAGTTCTGTATTTAAATATTCATTTTGTGACAAATTTCATTATCCTTATATTTCTTTTTTTGAAAGAAAACTAAATTTTTTTCAATTAACAAAAATAATTTTATTTTATCAACTGGAGTTTAAATGACAAATTCAATTATCCTTAAAGCGATATGTTTTTTTTTAAAAGAAAACTAAATCTCTTTCACTCAACGAAAATGAATTTATTTTATCAAACTAGACTTTGAATGACAAATTTAATTTCCCTTCAAGTAATAAAATCGACATTTTGTATTAAAATATTTATTTAAATATTTTTTTATTTTTACTGTAACTTCTTCAAAATTATTTTCATCATTTCAATTCAATTATTATTTTATAGAATTTTTAACTAAAATCCTTCTATAAATCTATATTAATTTTTAATAATTTTTGAAAAAGTTCTTTTTGAGAATTTTCAAATCCAGTTGCTCACAATTGAATTTTGCGTGAAATTGCGATTATTTGGAAATTTTTCAATTAAATATAATATTGGAAAGTAACTTCAAATAACTAATTTCAAAAAAAAAATTCGATTACAATTTTTCAAAAACATTAATTCTACAGAATTGTTAGTTAAAAGAATGAAAAATTCTATTTTTTAAAGATTTTATTTTGAAACCTTTACAAAATACAATTATTTAAAAAAAATTCAGGCTATAAAGCTTTTAATATTCAATTATATAAAATTTTGACTAAAATTCATTTTTAAATCTTTTCAATTTTTATTAGAAAATTCTAGGAGAATTAAATTATTTAAATACAAAAATAAATAATTTATTCAATTATTGAATGTTTCTTAGAATTGAATTACCATAAATAATTTTATCAACAAATTTTTAAATAATTGAATTTTTTTGGAAAATTTTATTAAAATATAATAGATATTAAAAATCATAAAGTTGAGAAAAAATTTTGAAAATAATTGAAATTTTGTCAAGAATATTATTAAATTTTTTTAAAATAATTGAATTTCGGAGAAGAATTTTATTATTTATAAAAATAATTGAAATATTGACGAGATTTTTTAAAAATTTTGGAGTTATAATTGAATTTGCTTTTCAATCAACAAAATCAATTTTATTTTATTATCAACTACAGTTTAAATATTAATAATTTCTAATCGATGAAATAAAATAAAAATCGTTTATAAAAATTAGAATTCGTTGTAAAGTTTTTTTCTGTTTATTTTAAAAATCAAAATTTTCAAACTATAAAAATCTAAATGTATTTAAAAACATTTTTTTGTATAAATAATTCATTTCTTTTAATAAAAATCATTTTTTAAAAATATAAATCATTTTCTTAAAATATAAATCATTTTTTCAATATAAATAATTTTTCTAATATATTTATAAAATTTGTTAAAATATTTCAATATTAATAAAATTGATGGATAAAAAATAATACTCAGGTGATGGATCTTTGTTCTAAACAGCAAATGAAGCTCATTAATCTCGTGGTTTTTTTCCTTCTTTTTTTCTAGGTCATTTCGATAATCATTCAGAATTTCTAAATCCATAGATTCCGTGTAAAACACCATTGGTAACAATGTCAGGAAGTGAGGAAGATACATTGGCCTGAACGTATGGATCGTAATTGTAATGGAAAATTGGCTGGTGAGTAAGTGTTTGTATTCTGAAATTAAATTATTTTTTTAAGAAATTGAAATTATTGGAAATGTTAAGTTATTTTATTAAATATATTATTTTTGTAGCAAAAAGAGAGAATAAAAATAACTTTTTCGAAAAATTATTCGTTTTTAACAAAAAGAAAAAGATATTTTTAAATAGAATAATTACAAATAAAATAAAGTAAGAAGAGAGGAAAATACCTTTTGTTATTTGTTCTAATTGGCTGATTATCGACACCTAAAAAATTTAATACTTGATGCTTTGTACTGGAAAGTTTTAACATTTTCTGCATATACTGCTCTAAAGCAGCTCGTCTATGTTCAAGGACTTTTGGATTTGAATTTCGAACTCTTTTTGGTGGAAAAGACGCAGTCTCACTTTCCTTTTTTAACTATATGAAAAAAAGAATAGACACTTTATTTAAAAAATTAAAACAATATTTTTGTCATGAAAATAATTTTTAAAAATATCAATTTATAAGTAATATTACAATTATAAATAAGTAATATAATACATACATAATTTATTAAAAGAGAAAAATTCATTTTACCAATCTATGTAGGGCGTTAAATTCACTGTATCTCTTTTCAACAAAATGTCGTGTTCCGTTTATTGAATGAACCATTTCAACTGAATAAACGTAGTATGGCTTTCCATGTGAAACATCAGCTAAGTGATAACCGCTGATAAAAATTTGATACATCGCATTATTTTTGTTATATCATCTTATTCCAAAATACTCAAGCATTGGAATTGTTTGTTTAAACGGAATGTTTGTCATTTCTCTCTAAAAAGTTGTGGAAATTGATTTTTTCCTTTTATTTCAATTATTTAGTAAATAATTGAAAACGAGAATTTTAATTCTTAAACACGAATTAATAATAAATAACTACTGCCAATTGTCAACAAAGGAACTTGACACCCACATACACGTTGCACTGTTTATAATACATATACAGCATTTCCTGAAGAGTACCTAAATGCTGGTTTTCATGAATAAATTCCTGTTTTTGAAAAGTGATGGACCAATGGAAAAGTATTCTTCTCTTGTCCACCAATCACAGTGCATTGCAGTTTGAAAAAAGATTCCAGAAGGTTTGGCGCGAATACGTCACTTTTTATCCTTTTAAACTTTCTCTACTGAGATTTATTTCGTAATCAGGTGACAATGATTAATGAGTTTCTCCAGATAATTTGATTTCTGTTTTTTAATACTCACAATTATTATCTCTTTAACAAATTATCAAAAATGATATAAATCATATTTTGTAGAAATACACTCAGTTTTTACTTCCTAACCTCCAAAAGTGTTTGTATATTTTTTGGCCTTTTTTCGATGATTTTATTTGTGCACTGTAAAAAAGACCAATGTTGAATTACAATCGGGTCGTTAATTTTAAATTTTCCAGTTTGTAATTTTACTACGGTACACGTAATAATTTAACACCCATATAGTATTTTCACAATTAAAAAGTAAAATTATTACGCTTATCGTTGTAAATGTGTCACGCGTTAGTAAATGTACATCCCGAATGTTTAATCATTTCGTGATACATTGGAAACTTTTCGCTTCACGTATAACGTTGTATGTTAGCAACCCAACCGTAAAAATATTTTCGTGTGTTAAGTAACTTACAGCTGATAGTTTTACCGACAGTATGTAGAATTATGTAGCTGTCTGTAAGTATACATTCGAATATGATATTTTTTGCCCGAATGTTTTTCTACACTGCGTGACGATGAAGTGGCATATAAGAAACTATGCGCATAGGCAAACGTTAATATTTTAATTTTAATTTATTAAAATTTCGACAATTTTAAGAATTTAAAGATTAAAGGAAATTTGTAAAGGTAAGTTCAAATTCTTAACATTTTTCATTTCTTAAATTTGAAAGATTTCTTTTTAATTTTTCATATATATCAAAGTTAATAAGGTAATGTCTTTTAACCTAAAAAGAGACACGTTTTTAATGATTTTTTATACTTAAAAAATTTTATTCAACTGTGTGAATTTTCTGTATGAAAATAATTTTCAAACATAAAAAATTTTTTCAGAATATCTTCATGGACTCTATTGCTTAAGCAGCTCGTATTTTTTTAAAATTAAAGTGGAAAAAGTATTTGTTTTTCCTGTTCTGTTGGAGAATTCGTTAACTTTGTACAAATGACAAAAAAGCTACAAATGTGATTTGTATATTATAAATATTTAATATATTTATTTATTTCTTACGTTTTTCCTTTATTTCCTTTTTATAATTTAACCTTTATGTAATACAAAATAAATATAAAAAAAAGAATAATTTTAAAATGCAGCGAAATTATTATGTAAAATTACCGACGAGTGGTCGATTTACAATTTGATGCGAAATCACATAAGAGAGGTTATGTTACGAACGGTAAGTAAGTTAACATTCGGGCTGTAATAGTACTACGTCATACGTGAAGCGAAAAGTTTCCAACGTTACACGTTGTAAATTTACATTGGGCTTTTTTACAGTGTGTGATTAATTATTGTTTATTGAGTCTGTGTTTGTGTTTTCCTGTATAAAAGTCACCCTTTGGTCTTTTCATCATTACTTGCACAAAATAAATTTTAAGATAAACGTTCGGAATTTTTTTTTAAATATGGTAATTATGAAGATTAACACGATTTTTTTGATTTGATAATTTTTTCGATAATTAACAATTGTAATAATTTTTTCCCTCTAGTTGAAAATTTTAACTGGGAAAGTAACATGCATGTATTTTGTGTCTACAACTCACAATACAAATTTAATTAGATGCCTACATTTAGGAGCTGGTAAGTTTTAATAGCAAAATTTTATTTTTGAATCTTTATTGCAAAGAATTATTTTTTCAGATTGAAGTTGAAAGAATACGTTTAAGTACTAAATTTTTCGTATTTTCGAAACTAAGAAGAAAGTGTTTTTCAATTTCAATAACTAGTTTACATGTTCAATTTTAAAAAAACAATTCTATTTAAATTAGGTCACTATAATGCTCGATCAAACGCATGCATAAGAAAACAAATTTAATTATGAAAATTATGATGCATTTTCAGTGCCATTGAAAAACTTGTCATTGGGTCATACAATGTCGGCAGAAGAAAATGATGTCTTGCTTCAAGACGTAAGAAATCATTTATTTATCAGAATATATTTAAATTTATTTAATTATTTAATTTCTAATTTATTTTTATCTTCTCCAGATTGGCGACAAAGGACTGATAGTTTTAAATAGACCGAAAGCCCTAAATGCTCTGAATTTGTCAATGATTAATAAAATTTATCCAGTTCTGAAGCAATGGGAAACTTCGAAAAGTCTCGTTCTGATCAAAGGTGCTGGTGAAAAGGCTTTTTGCGCTGGCGGAGATATTAAGTCTTTAGTTACACCTTTGAGAGACGATAAGAATGGTCATCAATTTGGTCAGGAATTCTTCAGACGAGAGTACACGTGAGTCATTAATTTCAATTTGAATAATTTTTAATTCTAAAAAAGGAGGAAAATTTGAATTTTATAAAATGAATTTAGATTGAATCATCTTATTGGAACGTTTAAAAAACCATATATCGCTCTACTTAATGGTATTACAATGGGTGGTGGTGTTGGCTTATCTATTCATGGAAAATACAGAATAGCAACCGACAATACTTTATTCGCAATGCCAGAAACTGGAATCGGTTTATTTCCCGACATTGGCGGTTCGTATTTTTTGCCGAGATTGAAAGGAAAACTTGGTCTCTATTTAGGACTCACGGGACATAGATTGAAAGGTATTAAAAAATTAGTAAATTACCATTTACTAATTTTGCTTTCTCATAAAAAATCGTATTTCAAATACAAAGAAATTAAAATACAGAAGGTTCGACTAATTTAATTTGTAAAATTACTTTTTTTCAAGGCATTGACGTTTACTTAGCTGGACTTGCGACTCATTTCGTTCCGAAAAATCAACTTGACGAATTGGTCGAAACTTTATTAAATTCCAAAAATGGGAACGTCGAGGAGATCTTAAATAATTATCAACCAAAAGATTTGAATCAGGAATTCACCTTAGAATCACGTATGAAGGAAATTAATAGATGTTTTTCAGCCCAAACTATCGAAGAAATAATCGAAAAGTAAGACAAAAAAACAATGCCAACAAATCCAACAACAAAAATTCGTATATTAAAAAAACCGCCTGTTAAATTTTTAGATTACAAGCAGAAAAATCCCAATGGGGTGATTCTGTAATAGAAACATTGCGAAAAGTGTCACCAACATCATTGAAAGTGACAAAAAAGGCCTTAGACAAAGGAGCAAATTTTGATTTAGCCGAATCTTTGATAATGGAATACAGACTAGCTTGCGCCTGTTTATCGAAAGACGACGATTTCTACGAAGGTTCGTTATTATTTTAATGCAGGGTTGCCACAAAAATTTTATTTTATTTTTCCCTGATTTCCAGACAAAATTTTGACTTTTTCCTTGATCATAAAGAATATTCTGATTCACTCTAAAAATTAGTAGATACTCAAAAAACTGCTCTATTACATTTTGTTTAAGAATTTCTTTAATTGTAAAATTATTCGAAAACAACAATAACTTCTTTTTTAAACAAATATTAATCGATTAATCGGAAATTTTAAATGAAATATATATTAGAATTCAATTATTTAAATACAAAACTAAATAATTTATTGAATAATTGAATGTTTCTCAAAAATTGAATTCTTCTAAAGAATTATATTAACAAATTTTTAAGAATAATCACATTTTTCGAGACAATCAATTAAAATTGCATTAAAAATAATTGAAATTCTGCGATGAATTTTATTATTTATCAAAATAATTGAATTATTGCGAAGAAATTTTGAAAATAATTGAAATTTTTCCAAGAATTTTATTAAACATTTTTAAAATAATTGAATTTCAGAGAAGAATTTCATTATTTATAAAGATAATTGAAATATTGACGAGATTTTAAAAAAAAATTCGGAACTTTATTTATAATTTAAAATTTTATCTGAAATTAATTCTTAAATCAATTTTTATTAAAAAATTCAACAAGAATTCAATTTTTTAAATACAAAAATAAATAATGTATTGAATAATTGAATGTTTCTCAAAATTTAATTCTCCTAAAGAATTATTGAAAATAATTGAATTTTTGCCATGAATTTTATTAAAATTTTTGAAAATAATTGAATTCTTGTGATGAATACTATTTGTTTATGAAAGTAATTAAATTTTTAAATGAATTGTATTAAAATTCCTGAAAATAATTAAATTTTGTCGAAGAATTTTGATATTCATTTATAAAAATAATTGAAATGTTGACAATTTTTTTTAGATTTTTTTGAAAATAATTGTATTTCTACGAAGAATGTTATTAATTTTGAAAATAATTGAATTCTTACAATGAATATTGTTATTTATGAAAATAATTGAATTTTATAATAAATTTTATTAAAATTCCTGAAAAATAATTGAATTTTGAGGAAGAATTTTGCTATTTATAAAGATAATTGAAAAGTTGATGATAATTTTTTTTTAATTTTTAAAAATACAGTAGAATTCCAATTATCTGGATCAATTGGGACCAGACCCGATCCGGATAATCGAAATGAGCATAAAATTGATATATTTTGAGTAATAAGATTTCAATCGACTATTTAAAACGCTGCTGCAAAAACCATTTAAACATTGACGCCTCAAGTTCTTTATTTTGAGAGGTTTTCATAACTTTTCTGGACGGGTTTCTATCCGTACATTCCAAATCAGAAGCAAATTTCAAAACCGCAGAACAGTTTTTCTTTAAATCGACTATCCGGTTAATCGGACGTCCGGATAATTGGAATTCTACTGTAATTGAATTTCTGAAAAGAATTTCGATATTTATTAAGATGGTTGAATTCTTTCAAAGAATTGCTTTGAAATTTTTTAAATTGTAACTAATTTCAACTGAATTGAAATTAAAAATTTAAAAAAAAATACTTTAATTAATGATTTATAAGTAATAACTTTGTGGCAGTTCTTCAATAGAATTAAGTTATTTAAAATAAATTATTGTCAGAAATAGAAAAAATTGAAGGGTTTTTTTTTTAAATTCGTGCAAATTTCATAGTTTATGATAGTAAAAATAGAAATAATATTAAAAATAGTAATAATAATAATGATATCATTTAATTAATTTTGAGTATCAAATAATTTAAATATTTTGAAAAAAACTACAGGTGTTCGAGCTCTGTTAGTCGATAAAGATCAAAAACCCGTGTGGAACCCCAAGAGTTTAAATGAAGTCACAGATGAACTTGTGAATAAACGATTTTCTCCACTCATCGACAATCTTGAATTAACTTTATCAAAGTTATAATAAATCAGCAGGGTAAGCTCAAAACAAAAAGAGATATTTTTCTAAATATTGTTGACAAAAGCAAATTTTATAAAATTCTGAACATTGTTTTTTTTTTTTATTAAAAACCAATTATTTATAACAAACATTCTTGACTCATTCGCTAATCTCTGACTCACCTTACGAAAAAACGTTACAACAAAATAAATAAAATATTGACTTGATTCCAGTTTATAGAGGGCGAATTTTAATAGATTGCAATTGCGTAAAATGAATCAAGAAATTATGTTTGATATTTACAATTCTGTATGTGCATCGAACTCATCGTTACTCTTTTTTTTGAAGCCTAAATCACGCATCGGCAAAAACTATTTCTGTACAATGAAAACACTTGTCATTCACCGCTTTTAAAATGAATTTGAAAAAAAGCTCGAGAAAAAAAGGTAAGATATAAGATAATGGAACTTAAAATCTGATCGCGCTTATAAATCCTGACAATAGTAGAAAGAAAATCACGAGAGAGAAAAAAAGAAATCGCTAAGGATGTTGAACACATCTTCGTGAAGTTTTTTATTAGTATTTTATTTATCAAAATGTTCGTTTCGTTTTTTTTAAATAACGTCAACATTCACAGCACTTTTTTTTTAATTAGACGAAGCTCTGAAACGTTGAGAAATTCACTTTCTGTTAAATAAAAATTAAAAAGGAAAAACAATTCTAGGTACGATTCTATACGACGTTAATATTTTTAAAGACGTACGCATAGTTGAACCAGATAATAATTAAATTTAAATAGGTCATAAATTCACTAAATTCAAAAATGGTCACAAAGCCGTCATTCGGTTACAATTCTGTCATAAGATTGTACTTTCCCTACTTGTTTTTTTTTTTTTTTTGTCTTTTGACGCATGAGATGTGAAATATTTGCTTTGCTGTGTTTTAATACAAGCAAAAAACATCCGCATGGCATTAGCACTGCTATGCCAAATGGAATTAAAGAGTTCGGATAGTGGGAAAGTAATAAATTACTGGAAAATATTGAGTGGTTTCAACTGTTATTAGGGGGGTTTTTTTTTGTTCAGTCGATGTACTGCGCCAACCAGCGAAAACCTTCGCCGTAGCCTTGCCTCTTGAGAACGGAGCACATAAAGAGTTCTAAGGGACGACCGGGAATATCGTTACGTGCAACCTTTCCCTGAAAGACAAAATTTCTTGTTAATTTCGGTATAAATTTAATTTTACAATTAATTTAATTTAATTTCGGTATTTCAAGTTTCATAGAAGTTTTATCAAGAAGAAAATTGACAATTGTCAATTCTTGAAAAACGCAAAGCGAAATTTTAATGAATTGAAAATTGAGTAAAGCAAAAATTACCTTTCCAGTCGTTTGCCCATAAAGATTAAAGAATGTTCTAAGTTCATCTTCTGATGCTGCACCTGGTTTGTCGATCTTGTTACCCAATACAAGTACCGGACAAATACTAAGCTGTTCATCAGTCATTAGCGCATCCAGTTCAGCCCTCGATTCTGGCAATCGATTCCTGTCACTTGCATCGACCAGGAACACAATCGCATCGACAGCTGGGAAATAGTCTTTCCAAACTCTACGAGCTGTGAAATAACACATTTTTTGAAATTTAGACCAAAAAACCATTATATTTTGTAAGTATAAATTATTTTATTTTCTTTCAAACTTAATATTCTTCTAATGACAAAAACATTAACTCTAATTGAGAATTAGCCTCAATTACAGTTGTCTTTAATGTCACAAAGTAATTTCTATTTTCTGGCATTTAAAATTTTATTTCTTAATTTGATAACTTAATTTCTTAATTCTTAATTTAATTTAAATTAAATACCTTGAGTGTGACCACCGAGGTCGAATGTTGTGAACCTCATGTTGCCGATTGACAGTTCTTCGGAGGCTGAAACACACAATTAACAATGTACTACTTACAACACGTGCTGACGAATAATTTGTTTAATTTAAAAAAAGATAATATATCAAAAAGATAAAATACCACTATTTACACAATCTACATTTTTAAGATTATTCAAGTCTCACAATAACAGGCCTCGGATCGACTTTAATGAGCCAAAAAAGTCGCTTTTGTCGATTAAAAATAGAAACAAAAGTAAAAAATATCGTTTATTTAATTCAGTGTTGCCACAAAAAATTTTTTTTTGTATTTCCCTGATTTCTAAATTTAATTAATCAAAAATCGAATAATTTTACTAAATAAATATTTAAATACTTCTTATTTCTTTTTCAAGGGAAATAAAATTAAAAAAATATCAACTTCGGAAATTTTTCAATTTTTAAAAATTACAACTATAACCCTTCAAAAATTCAATTATTTTCTACAATTTTAAACTAAACTTCATCTCTAAATCAATTATACTATATTAATTTTTAATCATTTTCAGAAAGTTCTTCTAGAATTAAATTATTTAAATACAAAAATTCAATTATTTATAATAATTGAAACTGTCCATTATTCTTTTTAAAGATTATTAAGATATAATATTTTCACAAATTTTAATAAAGAAGTTCTTAAACTTAATTTTTTTTAAATATTTATAAATAAATTTTGAAAGAAAATATTTTTACAACTACATTTACATATAATTAAAATATGTCCAAGGAATTGAAATTTGGTAAAAGCTTTGAAAAATAATTTAAATTTCATAAAAATCTTTAAAAAATAATTGAGTTTTTAAAAAATACAATAAAATAATCAAATTTTTGAAGAATTTTAATTATAAATGATTTTTTGTAATTGTAATAAGTCTAAAGAAGTAAGTTTTCAAAAATTTCAATTTACTTTGTTCGAAGGTAATTGAATTTTAAAAAAGAATTTTGTTATAATTTAAAAAAAAACTGAATTAATTTTTTGAAGAATGTTAATTAAAAATTTTATCATTTTCTCAAAAATGTTAAAAATTAATGATTGTAAAAAACTGTAATGTTATTGTTTGTCTGTATATTTGAATTTTCGGAAATATGTAATCGAAAATATTGAAAATAATTGAATTTTAAAAAATTACAATGAAAAAATTCTGAAAATTAATTTTTTTGAAAAATATTTTAATATTATTTTTACAACCTAATTTTCATTAATTTTCGTTTTTATTAAATTTACACCTGAATATTTTTCATTCAAATTTTTAAGAACTCAATTATTTCCAAAATTTTTAATTCAAATTAAAAATTGAAATTAAATTAAATTAAATGTTAATTTTTAAAAATTGTAATAAAATACTTAAGAAAAATGATTTGTTTTTAATTAAATTTTTTCAAAATTTCAATTCAAAATCTTTTTAATCGTATATTTCGAAAACTTAATTAGAAAAATTATTCAAAAATAATTTTTGAAAGATTTGTCTATAGTTATACTTTTAACACTATAAAAATAGAAATAAGTTGCATTTTATACTAAAAATGTGGTATTTTGTTGCAAAATTTGGAAGAAAAGTCGAAAAAGTCGCATTATTTGAAAATAGTTTGTAAAAAGTCAAAAAAGTCGTAATATCTGAGGCCTGCAATAATTAAAAAATTGTAAGTTAAAGTTAAAACTAGACGATTCTCCATTGAATTAATTGGTTTAGTCAAGCTTATTAAAAATATGCACAAAGAACCAGAATATTTGCAAGTCACGTTAATACTATTCGCTATTAAATCTAAGACGTCATATCGTTGTCTATGTCTCTATTTTTAAATTAAAAACAAAAATCTTACAAAGTATGAGATAATTTGCGCATCAGTTTGTATTCTCAACTAATAAAAACTATTTTTTCGGTTTATTTCACTATCTTCCGGTTGATAAAATTTTAATTTTTTTGACTTCTAATTGATAAAATAAAGAGAATTAAACATAAAATAAAAACGATTAAGTATAAAATAAAAAGAATTAAATATAAAATATAAAGAATTACAAATAAAATAAAAAGAATTAAAAATTGAAAAAGAATATTTGGACTCGGGAATATTGTTCCAAATGTTGTTGACTTCCAAAATTGTCAAGTTCTGAATGTTTAAATTCTAAAGGGGGGGTTTTTTTTAAAAAAGAAATTTGTGAATTTTTAAAAGAATGTTAATATAAGTTAGTTACTTGGGTGCAACGTAGGTACATGTTGAGCTAATCGGTCATCTTTGAGCATGTGAAGTAGTGTCGTTTTGCCTGCATTATCCAGGCCAAGAAACAGGAGTTTGCCACTTTTCTTCCATAATCCTGAAATAGAAAAACAACAAATATCATGCAAAAGCTCCAGTTATTATTTACTCACATTCACATGGCACTTCAATGGGATCGAGAAGATATTCGTCGACAGCTACATTTATCAGGGAATGACGACCCGAATAGGGTAAGCCAAGAAAGAGAAATTTTCCACGACACACATATGTCGGTAAACCTCGTGTTTTTCATCGCAGAAGAAACATAAAAGAAAAGTATTTTTCAAGTTTTAAAAATAAGAAAACTCATTCATCAATTTTCTCAGATAAGAAAAAGATAACTATATGTAAATTAAAATAATCCTCCTCGTTAATAATAAACAACCTATCTCGTAAAATACAAAAAAAAATAGAAAAATTTTAGGTAAACAATAGAATTTCTTTTTAAATAGAAATATATTTTTTAAAAAAGGAAAAAACTTACCAAGATAACCCAAGACACCAGTGAACCAATCCCAAATAAACATATTTGTGAATTTTTATTACGAGCTTACGGCTACTTTTTGGATGACTCTGCAAATAATTAAATCAGTGAAGTAGTCGGATTAATAGTATACTGTCTACGTGAACTAAACAAACAATGAAAACTAATTTTATGATATATGTTTAGCCTTGAGGGAACAAGGTACACATGTGTCGACGTACGTCAAAGTACGTTGCACTTGAATTGAAACGCACACTGCAATTATTATTTCAATATTGAAACATAAACAAAAAAATTGATATCTTCCCTGGGAGAAAAATTGGAATATTCTTTATTTTTATAATGATTAAAATACTTTTTTTGGCAAGAGGAGAAAACAGTGATTTGGCTCTTAAAAATAACAGTACCTGGCTCTCGCGCACCAGAAGGGAAACTTTTTTAACGAGATGAATAAAAAATATTGACACTATAGACAGTTGTAAATAAAAATTACACTTCACAGAAATGACGTACTTAGCGTGCAAAACTTAACGAAGATCTGATGATACACGGAGAAAAGTCACTTTTTCCCCGTTAAAAAGCGCAGCTCGTAACGAGCTCGTTTAGTTGGCAGTGGCACGGATGACGTCTACATCCGGTGGCCATCTTGCATCATATTTCCGTCTCAATTGTCAGTCGTTTGAACAAATTTTTTTACCTTTCACGATTTTTAATATATCCCCCATTTTATCAGTAGTTACAAACTAAAATTCGTTGAAAGTTTTAAATTTATTTATAATATTTTTATAATTTCCTTTTCATTTTTTTTATTTTAATCTATAAACAATGTTTGGGAATAATTTCAAATTTTCCCGCCTCTTGATTTTTTTATTTTAAATTTAAATAAAATTTCAATTCTCACTGCCTGTATATAAAAAATTAATAAAGTGGTTTCTAAAATTATAAGAATTGTTACAATTCTGTTTTTCTCTCTCCGAAGAACTGGAAAATAGAAAGAAAACCCTGAAGGGCGTGACGTGGGAACAGAGGGAATCCATCTTTTTTCCCCGGAGGATCGCCTGTTGAAAAAAGGACTTAATGCAACGCGTGATTGGCGGGCCGTTTGGTTGGATTTGCTACTGCGTTCATGTGGTAGTGAGCACTGTGATGTTTGTGGTTTTCACGGCGTTGTTTCTTTGTAATTTAAAAGGATTTTAACTAGATTTCCCATTAAAAAATGCTCTCGCTGGGTCCGAAAAAGGACGGAAGTCCGAATCTCAAGTTTTTCGAGAGTCCTGAGATCCTTACATTGTTGGATGGAGTTAAGCAGTGGCTCTTGAAAAATTGCAAGAAGGTGAGTCCTTTTAACCCGGCGTCTATTTCATCAATATTATCCAATCACATTTTAATGCTTTTCCAAATAGTTGTAAATAAAGTGTCTATATTTTTAAGTGGAAAAAAATATATTTAAATGGATTTTCTACTTTTTGTTGGTGTAGAACAATTTAATCGGTTCTTTAAATAACACCATAAATATATAACCTATGAATGTACTTGAAATATAGCTGTCACTGTATGTGTTGATGATGTTGACTATTCACCAGAAATCGACTGCGTGTAACTTGTGTATTATTTACTTTTTTTTAAATTTTAAGATGGTTTTATGTTTAATTCGTTTGACTATTAAAATTTGTATTTTTCCTTTGCAGTATGTTCAAACGGATCCTCCTACAAATAAATCGTTGGCTACGTTGGTAGTCCAAATATTACAGTTCCAGGAAGATAATCTTGGTAAAAATATTTCCAAACCACAGATGACCAGAATTCCTGTAAGTTCGATTATTAAATCCGAATAGCAGGCCTCGGATACTGAGACTTTTTCGAATATATATATATATTTTAAAAAACTGCGACTTTTTTCGACTTTTTTTCCAAATATTGCAACAAAATACCAAATTTTTTAGTATAAAATGTAATTTATTTCAATTTTTCCTGAATGAAAAATTACTATAGACAAATCTTTCGAAAATTATTTTTGAATAATTTTTCTAATTAGAATTTCGAAATATACAATTAAAAAGATTGTGAATAATTAAAATTTTGTAAAGTTTAATTGAAAAATAATTGACTTTCCTCAAGTATTTTATTACAATTTTTGAAAATCAACTTTTGAGGAATTTTAATTGCAAATTTTGCGAAAATAATTGAAATCTCAAAAATTTAAATGAATAATCTTAAAGTGTAAATTTAAAAATGAAAATTAATCCAAATTAGCTTCTATACAAAAAATCTTTCACGAAATTCAATTATTTACGAAAAATTACATTAAAAAAGTTTTAAAAATTCACCTTTTTAGACTTATTGAAGTTTCGGAGAAATTATGTTCTTATTTATAATTAAAATACTTCAAAACTTAGATTTTTTATATTTTTCAAAAATTCAATGATTTTTAAAAGATTTTACCAAATTTTTAATTGTTTGGAAATTTTTCAATTGCATTTAATTAAAAAAACTATTATCTTTCAAAAATTGTTTTAAAAATTAGTTTTAAGAATTTCTTTATTATTTGAATAAATAAAAATAAATTTAGAAATCAATAAAAGTTGAGGGAAAAAAATTAAAATTTTTGTAAATTTAATGAACGACTTTTTCGACTTTTTTCTAGTTTTTATTCACTAAAGCGACTTTTTTGCGCCTTAAACTCTTTCAATTAAAAAGAGTGAAGATTAAAATTCACTATATTTTCAGATGAAATGCTTCCTTGATTTTAAACCTGGCGGTGGATTGTGCCACATATTAGGAACGGCTTATAAATTTAAGCAAGAAAATGGCTGGCGGCGATTTGATTTTCCAGTTGGAAAGGTATTTTTAATTATGTTAACTGACATTTTGACTTAGATAGAAATTTAGGAAAAATATAAGCTATCTTCTTTCTTTTTTTTCTTGTCAAAAATTTGTTTTAAAAAATACTTTCTTATAAATAGAATTTGTTTTCAAACTAGACAGTTTTTTTTAAATAAATCGCAATTTTTGTTTTTCAGTCGGGCTCTCGAATGAATCTCTTGATAGACATGTTAACGGCAGCTGAACGTGCCTTGGTACAAAATAGATGTTTAATATTACCTAATGTATTTGTGAGGTCCGATGTTGATAAGGCGACAGCTTCAAAAGTCAAAGACATTGTTCGACGACATCAAGGTTCAATTGTTGAGAACGAAGCAGACGCAACTCATGTAATTTATCCTTCCGTCGATCCTCTAGAAGAAGAATATGCCAGACCATTTATGAGACGCGATCGTTCCGTTCTTCTTCATTGGTATTATTTTCCTGATAGCTACGATACCTGGACAAATCTCGATCTTCCATGGGACTTTCCCGAAGGAAATTTCGGAACCATAAATCCCAGGTAGTTTTTCTTTTGATGAATTTGTTAATATTAACTTCTTGATCTGTTTAATAAATGTTTTTTCTTTCAGAACAATATACAAAGTGTCAGCAACATGGGCGTTGGATTTGGATCAATACAATGAATGGATGAATGAGGAAGATTATGAAGTCGATGATAATGGACAGAAGAAAGTGCACAAATATAGACTCTCCGTGGAGGATTTGATGTCCCAACCCTCTCATCCTCCAGCTGGTACGAAAAAGCCGAAACGTAAAAGATCGCCGTCTCCTCCACCGAAATTGGGAAAGCGTAAAAGGTAAAATAATTTCGTAAAACAAAATACGTTGGAAGATTCATAAAAGGGGTATTAATTGAATATTTTCTTCTAGTGGACGAGGACCCGCAGGAGTGCAAGGAGCAACATCAGCAACGGCTGCGATGAAAAAGACCCGAGGTGGCGTTGACGAGGAAGAAGATTTGACCCAGGGTATGGAAGATCCACCCGCGGAGCCACGAATTGTCGAAGTAGTTGCCTCGGCAACCAACTCATCGATCACCGGTTCAGGTTCAACCGGAGGTGGCAATACCTCGACAAACAAGAAACAGGACAATGAACTACAACCCCTGAAGTCGGGAAATATGGCCGATTTGGACGAGCCTTCCGAAGGTGACAAGAACAGTGCGCACAGTGCCCAGGATCGTGAAGAGAGAGGTTCAAGCAAAGAGCGTGGCGAGGGAAGTAAAAGCGACGAACCCGAGGATAATGTCACGGAACAAACTCACCACATCGTCGTACCCAGCTATTCAGCCTGGTTCGATTACAATTCCATTCACACAATTGAGAAACGTGCTCTTTATGAATTTTTCAATGGGAAAAACAAATCCAAAACACCTGAGATTTATCTTGCCTATCGAAATTTCATGATTGACACCTATCGATTGAATCCCACCGAATATATCACCTCAACAGCCTGTCGGCGTAATTTAGCCGGTGATGTTTGCGCAATAATGCGCGTACACGCCTTCCTCGAACAATGGGGTCTGATCAACTATCAAGTTGACGCTGAATCGAGACCAACGCCAATGGGACCACCGCCAACTTCTCACTTCCACGTCCTCTCGGACACACCATCAGGTTTGGCGCCAGTTAATCCAAATCCACCGAAAACACCCCAACCATCGGCGGCGAAAGCCTTACTGGATTTGGAGAAGAAACCAAGTACACCACTCGGCACTGGTGGTGATGAGAAACCAACGCCAAATTCAATGACTAATTTCGGTCTGAAGATCGATCAATATTCGAGGAAACCGTCGGTGTTGAAAAATAAACAGGCGTCGAGTGCGACGCGCGACTGGACAGAGCAGGAGACACTTTTGCTTCTGGAGGGATTGGAACTTCATAAGGATGATTGGAATAAAGTGTGCGAACACGTTGGTTCAAGAACACAGGATGAATGTATTCTCCACTTTCTTCGGCTTCCTATTGAAGATCCATATTTGGAGGAGGGTGGTCCTGAAGGTTTGGGACCATTGGGCTATCAACCGATACCATTCTCGAAGGCTGGCAATCCTGTTATGAGTACTGTCGCTTTCTTGGCTTCCGTTGTTGATCCACGTGTCGCAGCTAGTGCCGCAAAAGCCGCCATGGAGGAGTTTGCTGCCATCAAGGATCAAGTACCAGCTGCTCTATTGGATCAACATTTGAGAAATGTTCAAGCAAGCGCCAATTCCGATGGTATGTTCATATTTTTTTACTTCGAATCATTTTTCTTCTTTTGTAAATTATTTTTTGTACAAAAATTACTGTCTTCACTAATTGACACACCCTGATGATAAAAAGTTTATTCAGAAAAACTCCGATGGTAATTAAATAGAAAAATATTTACTTTATTGTCATTTCATTAAAATACCGATTTAAAACTAATTAAAAATGGAATTAAGAAGACGAACTGTTCTGTCAAAAGCAGTATAATTTCTTACTTTAGAGTGACAAATATTTGAGAATATTAAAAATCCGGTATGGAAATGAATATTTATTGCTCCTCTTATTCGAAAGGTAAATTTGATCCGGCCGCTGGACTGGCACAATCCGGAATCGCTGGCACTGGACCACCGGAACCACCAGAGGATTCTTCCGCTACTTCGACGGGACCAACAAATGCGACACCATCGACATCACCTCATCCAACGCCAGAAGGAAAGAAGGAAGAGGCTACGGAAAAGTCAAAGGAAATTGTTGAGAGTGAACAGCCAGCATCAACACCTCCAAAGAAGGAAGAAATCACCGAGAATGAGAGGGATCAATCTGAAAAAATGGACGTGGACACGAAAGAAAGTGAGGATGAACAAAAGGCCAAAATCGATGGCGAAGAAAGTGACGGAAAAGAGAAGAAGGACAAAGTAAGTTTAATTTTACAATTTTTCATTATTATTAATAACGTGAAATAATATAATAATCATTATTAATATCCCGTGATTTTTTAAATAAATAAAAGTATTCAATTTGTTTTTAGAAATTATTACTTCCAGAGTAAATTTCATTACTTTTGAAGGTAATTTTTATAATTTTTATAAAAAAATTCTCTTCGGATGTAAGTAAAAGTTATTCTGGAAGTAATTAATTGAATTCATACAAAAAATTAAACCACAATTTTTTAAAATAATTGAATTCCTGTGAAGAATTTTATTAGTTTAGGAAGAGAATGAAATTTTTTCAAAATATTTAATCGAATTTTTTTCTTATAAAGAAATTTATTGAACTTTTTCAGAATCATAAAATTTTTGCGAAGAATATTAAAATTTTTTTAAGTAATTTAATTCATGCGAAAAATTTTATAAATTATGAAAATAATTCGATTCTCATAAATAATTTTATCAAAAATTTTCAAAGTAATTGAATTTCTGCAAAGAATTGTATTTTAATACAATTATTCTTTTAAATATTTAAATTACTGCAAAGAATTTTATGAATTATGAAAATAATTGAACTTTAGCTAAGAATTTAATTAAAATTCTTAAAAATAATTGAATTTTTCGAGGATTTAATTAATTTAATTAATTAAAATTGTATTGAAAATAATTCAATTCTCTTAAATTCTTTATGAGAATTGAAATTTTGCTAAGAATTTAATTAAAAATTTGTTAAATAATTAAATTTTTCGTTCAATTTAATTAAAATTGTATTGAAAGTATTTCAATTTTTATAAAGAATTTAATTGAAATTTTTCAAAATAATTGAATGCTCACAAAGAGTTTTATTGTATTTATGAAAATAATCGAATTTTTTCAATGATGTCAAAATCAAGTGTTTTATTAAAATTTTTGAAAATATTTGAATTGTTTTGAAGAATTTATTGGAATTTTTTAAATAATTTTTATTGAAAATTTGGAAAGTAATTTAATTTTATTAAGAATTTATTTTAAATTTTTTAAATAATCGTTTTTTATTAATAATTGTTATACAATTTTATTAGTTTTCGTAAGTAATTAATTTTTTGGAATATTTTCCTAAAAATAATTTATGTAGTTTTTTATAATAATATTAATTAAAAAATGTTGAAAATAATAGAAATATACAAAGAATTTTATCACAACTTTTGATAATAATTCAATTATTTAGAAAAATTTTATTACAATTTTTAAAAATAATTGAATTCGTTCATGAAATTTTATTAAAATTGCATTAAAAGTAATTTAATTCCTGAGAAGAATTTTATTATTTTATTAAAATAATTTATTTCTTGACAAGAATTTTATAATTTATAAAAACAATTGAATTGTTTCGAAGAATTTTTAAAAAATTTTAGGAAATAATTGAATGTTTTTGTGAAATTTTATTAAAATTGCATTGAAAATAATTGAATTTCTTAGAAGAATTATATTATTCATAAAAGTAATTGAATTCCCCGTTTTTACTTAATATTCCAAAAATGTGTCGATGTGATCTCTGGAATTGACAAAGAAATAAAAAATTCAGACATTAGGAAATGAAATAGAAGGAAATTACATATTTTTTCCTGTTCAGCAGGTTGTCAAAGATGCACAACTACAATCTGCTGCAGCTGCAGCATTGGCAGCCGCTGCTGTCAAAGCAAAACATTTGGCCGCCGTTGAGGAAAGAAAAATAAAATCTCTCGTCGCTCTACTTGTTGAGACGCAAATGAAAAAATTGGAAATTAAATTACGTCACTTTGAGGAACTTGAAACGACAATGGAGCGTGAACGTGAGGGTCTTGAATATCAAAGACAACAGCTTATCACCGAAAGACAACAATTTCATTTGGAACAATTGAAAGCCGCTGAATTTCGTGCCCGACAACAAGCACACCAAAGGTTAGCTCAAGAACAGCAGCAACAGCAACAACAAAATCAACATCTCATTCAGCAACAACAGCAACAACAACCACCAAGTCCACAGGCAACATCTCAACAACCACCACCTCACACGCCACCACAACAAGCGTAATGTATCCCATTAAACAAAAATCAAGGTGACTACGAATCTTGAGGTACATTAATTATTAATTTATATTATTAGATTGATGAAATATGGGAGCGAATTATTCATAACTAGAAAGTATTTGATTATTAGAAAGTATTTTGATTCTAATACATATATGAAAGCAAGAAAAAAAATCCACAATCGCAAAGAGAGACACGAGTCATTTTATAAAGGATCATTTGTCTCCGATTAGTGATTTTTTTTACTACTATTATTTTTTAATTAATTCCACATTTGACCAATAATTAATTGGTATACTTTGATTTAATTTTTGGATGACAAACAATAGACAAATGACTGGGATGGGGGGGAATAGAGGCAAAAAACAGATTTCTATATAATTTAGAATTAAGAGATTTTGACGATTGTCATTTATATCAAATTTTCTACCTTGAAGAGAATGGAAATCATTGAACAAAAAAAAAAAATTAAATAAAATAAGCAGTTTGTTTTATTTGTATAATAAATTTTTTAAGAATAGGATTATCCTTTTTGATGAGAAAATGAACTGCGTGCAATTGTACTTGAATTGATTGTCGAGTGAGAGTAGAAGAAAAAGCACTTCAGATAATAACATTAGATAATTTTTTTCCATTTTTTTTTAATTTACAGTGCATCTCTAATATAAAAAGCATATATATATATATAAATCTCGAAGAAACGAAAATTTCGTCTTCAGGGTTACTTTTTTACTGTCTCGATTTTTCGTAATGTATTCTGAAATTTCTATTTACAGCATAATTCGTCGTATTGTAATTGACTTACGATCATGTAAAATATACAGTATATTGTGTATAAGTTATAGATTAATTGTCATTTTATATATCTATAAATTAGATAAAATAGGTTTTTTTGTGTTAATTCATGCTGAATTTTTTTCTACTCTCTTTTTTTTTAAGGAAGCTAGTTAATTTTTCTTGTTTTTCAATTTTGATATTGATTTTTTTTCCTTTTTAATTAATAATTCCAGAATTAGTTTTTTTCTGTCAATTACTTTTAGAAAAGTGGGAAATTCGTTCTAGAAAATTATTTTCTACCATTTTTTTTATCTAAAGTGCGTGATTATCTATTAATTCTAGAACAAGTTCGGTCATTAATCGTGAACAGTCAGCACCTTCCGGAGGAACAACTAAAGCGGTGCGAAGTTCCTTATTTTCCTCTCCGCCTTCGTATAAATCTGGTGCTTGATCACTTTCGCAGGTGCTGATTGGGAGAATATCCACTGCTAAACCTAATCCAAATCGTCCGCATCTTCGTATTTCCTCTTTTAAACTGCAAATTACGTTCTTCAGGTTTATTTTTATTTTTTTTTAACATTTTCAAATTGTTTATTCAGGGTTGCCACAGTTCAGGGAAATAAGGGAAAGTAAAATTGTTCGGGGAAAAGTCAGGAAATTTTATCAAAAATATACTGGAAAAATATTTAATTTCTAGAATTCATAAGAAAATTTCAGATCCAAAATTTTTAAAAATTCAACTTTTATAAAATTCTTTATAACAATTTAATTATTTTCAATAAATTTTAATAAAATTCTATATTATAAGAATTCAATTATTTTGAATACAATTTTAATTGAATTCCTGAAAAGAATTTAATAATTTTCACAAAATTTATATAAAATACTTTAAAACAATTCAATTATTTTCAAAAAAGTTTAATAAATTCAAATTTCAATTATTTTTAATAAAAGTCAATAATATATTCTGTATTATAAGAATTGAATTGTTTTCAATGCAATTTCAATTAAATTCGTCCTCAAAATTTGCAAGAATTCAATTATTTTAAAAAATTGTATACAATCCGTTAAAAGAATTCAATTATTTTCAATACAATTTGAATTGAATTTCTCAAAAGAATTTTAAAAATTTCACAAAATTTTCATAAAATTCTTCAAAACAATTCAATTATTTTCAAAATTTTTTAATAAAATTTTATGTAAAAAATGATTGTAATTTCATGAAATTAAATTGTAAACAAGTGAATTTCAGTAATATTTTAGGTGGAATTTTTTTTCTTTGAGTAAATAATTGAATTCTTAAGGAATTTTTTATAAAATTATTAGAAATTATTAAAAAGAATTGAATTAGAGAAAAATGTCATTTAAAAATTCTAGAAAATAATTGAATTGAAATCTTGAAAACAATTTCGACTAAGTTACAGTAGAAATTCTTGAAAAATAATTGAATTTCAAAGGATTTGAAATTTGAAATTGAAAAAAATGTAATTCCTGTGGAAAAATAATAATAATGATTAAATATTTATTTAGAAAAACTGTAGATATTAAGAATAATTTAACAATTAAGGCTATTTAAAAATAAATGTATTTCAAACATTTTTTTGTGTATCTAATTATTATTTTTAGAGTGTATTAAAATATTCTTTAGGGTCAGGGAAAAATTCAAAGTTCTGTCTGGAAATCAGAAAAAATTAAAATCAAATTTTTGTGGCAACCCTGTCATCACAAAATGATTGTAATTATATTTTTTATTATAGTTTTTGCAAAACAATATTTATCATTTAGTTAAATTATTATTTTAATTTCTTTTTTTAAGTAAAAACAATATTTATCATTTACTTAAATTATTATTTTAATTTCCTTTTTTAGGTAAAAATAATATTTTGACTAAATTTTTGAAACATTGAGTTTTACTTACAGTTCCCACATGGTCGTTTCATCTCTGTCTGGACCTTGGGGATTTAAAGTGTACAGTGAAGACATTAAATGTCTGTGATAATGTCTCAATAATTCGGTTTGATGATTTTTTCTGACTTGACTGGTCGAGCAGCAGTACAAAAGATTCACCAAGTCAAGAGCAAGGGAGCCGACTCGTGCAAGTTGGAAATCAACCAAGTAAACATCCTATTTGACAAAAAAGAATTTCTTTATACAAAAACTTATTTTCTTATTTTTAATTCTAGTTTTTGAAAGAATTTAAGAAAATGATTTTTAGAATTTTTATTTTGAATAATTTTATTTATCGAACGACCTGTGTTTCAGTTGTAGCAACGTTGGAGTCGCGAAAGAGAAAATTATTGGTCCAGCAATCCCCATGACAAAATACTGTGAGTGGTCCCTTGGCGGCGGTCAATTTACACATGGTACGGAAAAAAGTCTCTTCACTCAGAAAAGCCTGAAATTTATCCATCGCTTCTTCTCGTCGATACTCCAAATTGTCAGGCAAGCCATCTGATACCATTCTAATTGCATTATTTGTCGCCATTCGATAATATTGACGGTACCAGTCCTCATTTTCTGATCGAAACAAGACCTCTTGCAATCCTTGTCCCTCTTCAGGATTTGACAATCTCTCAAAAACGTCTGGCCTTCAATATTAATATTTGAAAATAGAATAGAAAAATAGATAAAATACAGAATAGAATGAAATTTAGTAAGAATAAACTTGCCTCTGCTCCTTGAGAGTCAAACTGAGGGCGTGAAATCCAGCGAGAGCTTTAAGGATAAACTTGAGACGATCCAATTGAAGACCAGTTCTTCTGTCGGCCATTCTAAAGCCCCTGTCCTTAAGATCCTCCATGGCAATGAAATCGGGTCTTGCCGCAAGGACTTTGGCGACTCCTTGGAAAACAATTTTTCCATTTTCCTGAAGTTCATTCAATGCAGGCCACACGTGTTTGTAAAAAACCACCTCATTACGAAATAACAATTCACTTTTATAAGCCTCACGTCTTGCTTTCGATTGCGGTAGGACCTTGTAAATTATTGCCCTCTGCCACGGTATCCATTCACCTTTTTTAATTTGCTTTCGTCCCTTGGCGCGCACACGATAAAGCATCGATGTATAATTATCACCACGTCCTGAGCCTGGTTCCTCGTCGAGATTTTTAATTTCCACTTCCGGCTCATCGGAGGTGATTAATTTTGCCACCAAATCCAATGTGAGACGTGAATGTTGCTCCATTCTGACACGATGGATGATATTTTGCAATTGGAAGCTTTTAACGTCTTGCACACTGTACTTCTTAATCAGTTGGATTATCAAATTGACAAGCGAGTTTTAAAGTAGACGAGATTGTTATGACATTATATGCGCTCTATAGGATGCAGGAAATAGGCATTTGAATCCGAGTTTATAGAGAGAGGGACCAGAGAGTCGCATCAATGCGGTACTTAATTCATCGGGGAACCTAATTCGAGGGACAAGGACATTGATACACGTCAATCATCAACGATTGACGTCTCTCGAACCTTAATAGACAAATTCTTATAATTAAATTTCTACTACGAAGTTAGTGTTGATATATGAGGCATTCTATTTGAAAACGATCCCCCTGCACATAAACAATTGCCAATGTGCAAAAGGGGATTTTCAAATAATTATTTATCCTGCTAACCAAAATTTATCTTCTATTCGTGGTTTTCGAAAAAAGCCTCTCAACTCTACAATGACAGACAAAAATTCTACATTCTATAATTCTGCAAACTAAAAATCTACAAATATAAAAAATTTAGTTTGAAAAATAACCTTTTAAATGTCTGCAAACACGTTGACTCCGATTTTCTTGAAACTTAAGTCAAAATAAAGCTTAAATATTCTTTTTGTTCGCTGTAAAAATTAAACTGGACAATTCAGAGAATTTTGAGAGATTATAAATTTTACAAGAATATAAAAGGTTAAAATGTATGAGCGGAATTTGTTTTTACAAATGTTCACTTTTGTTAACCCTCAAATATAATTATTTTGATTCAGAGAAATATGCAATAAATTTAATTTCTAGAAAATTGTCTTTTTAAATTTTCTTTTTCATTTATTGCATAAGTTTATTAACTAAATAAAAACATAGAAATGTAAAACATTTAGAATATTTAATTCGCATTTAATTAATTATTAATTATTTTTTTTAAGAAATATAAATTAAATTTTATTTGGAAATAAATTTTAGTAAATAAATGCTGCAAATAAAGTGATTTGATTAAATTCTTTAAATTTCGTTAATACCTACTTTAAATTCTGTTAGTTTTATTAAATTTTATAAATTTCTCACCATAAAGTTAAAAAAAAAATTTTTTTAAACCAATAATAGTTAATAAAGTTTCGTTTTATTAAATATGAGAAATATTTATTTAAAAATTCTGTCATTTTTGTAAAATTTTATTAATTTCTCGCCATAAAGTTCAGAAATTTTTCTTTTAAAACCACTAATAGTAAATAAAATTCAATTTTAATAATTATAGAAAAAATAATTATTTAAAAATAGCCGTACATTGTCAATTGTTTATGAGAGGTGTCGTTATTAAACAGAATTAACAAATTACGCGCGCAAGATTTCTAAATTTTCTCATTTAGTTAGATTTTTGACTAAAAAAAATCAAACTAAAAATTAAATTAACTAAACAAAATTTTACATAGAAATTCAATTCTTTTTAAACATTTTAATAAAATTTTTCGCAATAATTCAATTATTTTCATGAATAATAGGAATTCAATTATTTTTGAAAATTTGAAACTCAATGATAACAAAATAATAATAATTTTTCATTTAGTTGTCTATTCATTGAATATTAATTAAAGTATCAAATTTAATAATTTTTGGTTAAAATGCAAACTTTATTCTGAATACTACCATCTGATTAAAAATTTACCAATAACTATTAAATATAAATATTTTTTATTTTGCTTCGTCTATTTTTGTCTATTCTCTTTTTTCAATTTCAGAAAAAATTAAAATACCGTATTAAAAATTTATATATCGTAATTTAATGATTTAATAACAATAATTAAATTAAATGAATAAAATTAAAATTTAATAATTAAAATAATTTTTGAAAGGGAAAAAGTGTAAAATTTGATATGAAAGTTCGAAATTACAATCAAATTGAAAAAATTGTCTCATATTCTATTTATTTACAAATGCAATTACAAAATCTACTGTTTAAATTCTACTGAGTAGAATACTGTGTTTTTTTATTATGACGATTTATTTTCGTATGCTTGTAGTTTTCGTATATCCTTACCAACCAAAGCTTGAAGTCGATTTTCTTGAGCCACTGAGAGAGACAAAGTTTTATAAGCTCTCAAGCCCATTGCCGTTCCCTCGTCCATGCCAAACTCGACTGCGTACTCGATTAAACTCTGAAATTGAATTATTTTCTTTAATTTTTATTGAGTAAATAAATAGAACGAACTGATTATTTTGATTTTTACTATTTTAATTTAAACTCTAATAATTATTACTGTTGTTATTATCATTATTAAATTATTATTATTGTTTAACTCTTGTATATTATAATTTTTTAAATTATCGTTATTAAAATTTAATTAACGAAATATTTTCGTATTTGACAAATTTCAAAATTATGAAACATAATTGAGCAACAAAGTATTACACCCACAAAAAGGATATATTTGACCCAGAGCCAACTAGACTTTTTATTTGTTTCAAATCAATTATATTTGGTTCAAATAAAAGTTTTCTTTATGTTGAATGAAATTTTTATTTCAAGCAAATAAATTATATTTTGTTTAAATAAAATTTTCCTCTGAGTGTAAAATTTGAATTGAAATTCAGAAAAAAAGAGAAATTTTACCAAAACAGCTTCGCAATGGCCATTAGTCAAACAAGCGTCAAATATTTCCTTCATCGCTTCAGCAGTCATTGATCCGAGTACCATAGTCTTGTTATTCACCAATGTAGATAATACTTCTAGCATTTGATCAAATTCTTCGCCTCGTAAGCAGAGAACTGCTATTTTTTCCAAAACACTAGCTTCACAAGTATAACCCTTGTCAGATTTCAATTTATAATCCTTCAAAGAAAAGAGAAAATCAAATAAATTTATTTATTTATTTAATTCAAAAGGGACAAAATTTGAATTGAAAACAAACCTGTGAATCGGTCCAAAAAGTCCAAGCATTTTTGGCAAAAATTTTATTCAATGGTGAATCATCAATCGATGGTTTACAATGATTAACCAAGAGATCGAGTATTTGATCGAGAATTTCATCGTTTTTCACGTAATCGAGTAATATTCCTTGAGAGCATACAATTTGTAATGCATCAGTAATGATACTTGGTTCTGTTTCTTTCATAACGCTGAGAATTTCTTTAAATAAATCCTGATCGGGTGTGTAAATATTTGGCGTCATTTCTTCATAGATTTCCATAAATGATTGAAAAGTCAGTGCTTCTAGATGAAGTAATAAATAATGTTTATAGTAGATGCCCTCCTGTAAAAAGAAATATATTTTAGAAAAGTAAAATTATTATCTCTCTCTCTCGATTTTAAAATAAAATCTTTATTTTAAAATTAAAATTAAAATTTCAAACCTGATAATTGTCACTGAGGAATGAGTAATTATTGTCTTTTATAAGAAGATCGTGGATTCTTTTGGCAAGAATTAAAGATCTTGCGTGATAGGCACTTTGCATGGCTATGTGGAAAAATAATTTATCTTCTGGGCATTGAACTTCCAGCGATTTTTCATCTTCTAATACATTTAGTATTTCATTCAGAACACTTTCTAATTGGTTATCTAAATTTCATTATTTAATATAATAATTAGATTGTATTTTCGAAAACAAGAGAAATGTAAACAAAATTTTTGAAACTTTAAAATACTTACTTCTTTTATAGAAACATTTAAGAATATGGTAATACGATCCTAGAGATGGTTTTACATTTATGTTTTTGAATTCATTGAAAATGGTTGAAACGATATTTTTTCTTTGTGCCATTTTGAACATTGATAGCATTTGTAAACTGGCATTTAAAGTTTTAACATCAGGACGTAAATTTTTCTCCACCATTTGCTTGTAAATTGATTTCAGTAAAATAATACGATCATTATCCATATGTTTTGTAACTACAATTGCTTTTATTAAATGATCATAGGTTCTTTTCATTAGTGGAATATTTTTTTCCAAGCATTCTTCATATAAATCCCAAGCTTTGAGTAACTATGAGAAAAAAAATATTTATTATTCTAAAGAATTATTTTTTCTGAAATGAAAAATTTTTTCGACAAAAATACGTACACTATTATGTTTTGCAAGACCAGTTATTATGGTATTGTAAGCTGCCACTTCCATTTCTCCTTTTTCTTCTTTTAAACATTTAAACAAATGAATTTTATCTGAGCATTCTCTGAAAATGAATGATTATTTATAAATTTTTTAAAATAGCAAATTTTGAGCTTAGCTTTCTTTCAGACAAATTACTTACGTCCAATAACTCGAATCATGTTTGATGTCTCTATTAAAAGAAAACCATCGTTCCTCAACGTATTCCTTATTAATTGGATCAGTTGAATTATAAAAACATAATAATTCAAAAAGAGCTAATTTAGTTTCTATTTTGACATTGCGATCTAGTAAGTTGAATATTGTAATTGAATCCGTGACATAACCAGATTTTATACTATTCAATAGTATTTCCTCAGAGACTTGACTCTTTTCTGTGTAAACAGCACGTGGGGCATAAGACTGTGATTTGAAATTGAATGTTAATTTTGTGAAAATTTAGGTGATTTACATTAATTAGTACACTAATAAACAAAATTTATTTATTAAATAATAAATTACCTCGATAAAGGGTTCAGCAATTTTATGATCAAAAAATTCTGCATGTTCTTGTCGAATCCACATTGCAGCTTTTCTTCCTGCCTCTCTTGACAGAGCAAATGATCTTTTATCGTTATTTGATGCAGGTATTAAGTAAGGATCATCTATGAATTTATAATGAGCAGCTGTAGGATCTCTCTTAATAGTACTTTCCAGAGCCTGTGAATTGTTAAATAATAAATTATTAAATAAATAACTCGATACATAATTATTTTGTGTACAAAAATAACACAATGTTCGTACCATTAATATATCCGTAGGACCTCGCTCTTTTCTATTTGGAACTTGGATATTTGTTGTCGAAGCTGTCGATGAATACGATTGTAATTGTGCAAATCCATTTTGCATTAATTTCCTATATTGAAATTTGATTATTGTTTATATTTTTTCTTGTTGAAAAATTAAAAGATCCTGACATTTTTAAGTATAAATAAATTCTATAGAATTTTATGGTTTGTAATATTATTACATACATAAAATTATGTAATTTTAAAATTAAATTATTACTGAAATTAAAAATTAAATTTTACTGTAATTAAAATATTACTGTTGAGTAATTTTAACACCTATTTATTTAAATATTTCTAAAAAGTACATTTCTTTTCTTTAATTTTGGAGTGAAACCTAACCTCTAGAAATAGGAAAATCTCAATTTAGATTGTATTTAAGTTTGAAGATGCAAATAACAACCGGTGTAAAGTAAGGAAAATCGATCTTACTTACCGATTTGATAATTTGTTTCTTAATGAGTTCATTATTATGTTTTCTTAGACGTGAATTAAAATTATAAAATATGAACTACAAAATTTTACTTTAGAATAAACACATTTTATGCATTTATGTCACTGCGTGTGTATTTCACTTTAGTTCTAAGGCCTTAAGCTCTGTTTACAAAACGGAAATTAAGCGTTTGCTTCCCCAATGGTGTTATTTCATTGGCTTTCTTTCTGGACTATTTGAAAAAGATAGAAATAACAAAATTGAACGGAAATAACACTTCTTTAATTTTAATTATTTGAATTGTAAAGTCCAACGCACAATAGGTTCGCGAAAGTCGTTCGCGAACGAGACGCATGAGATAGACAAGGACACAAATATATCTCTGTCCTTTTCTAACTCATGCTTTGCGTTCGCGAACGATTTTCGCGAATCTATTGTGCTTAGGCCTTTATTCTATATATCTTTTTTACTTTTAAATTGTTTCTAACAAGTCATCAGATTTTATCTTTGTTTTTTCGAATTTCCCGGAAAATAATGACCAATGAGAAATATTTGGCGACGCATGCGCAGTAGTGCAACAAGCTTGATTCCGCGCTTTTTCTTCGGGTTTTGAGGTTAGGTTATAACAAAGAAAGTGTTGCTCGTGTTGCCGGTTGCAGAATTCTAATTAATTCTTTTCATCATCATATAGTAAATAATACTCGTGGGAAAGGTAAATATTTAAGTTAGTTTAAATTGTACTACTGATTCTGTATATATTTAATGTATTTACTTGAAATAATTTATTACACTCTTTTCGCAACGCGAGACCCACGAGTCTCATTCGGTTTTTAGGTTATGTTCGAAATTGAAATAAACTGCGTGCGTTGCAGGTTGTAACAGGCAGAAAACAGGTAATATATACCAATGTAGATGAAAGTCTTATTTGAAACCAGCGTGTATTTTAGCCACTTTAGCAGTAAACCGGTAAAATTATTCACTTCAAACTCGACACTCGCTTTTTATTCAATTAAATAAACTCTACTTGCGAAAAATACTCTACCGCAATAAACACTTCTATTTTTCTAATTTATTTCCGAAATATGTTTCTATATTTAATACTTTTTGCATTATTGTTAACAGAATTTATTGATTTACTAAAATTATTACATATTTTTAATTTCATAATTTTTATTCATTTCAAATTACTCAATTTTAAAAATTTTCAATTTAATATAATCTGTTATTTCTTTTATTTTCAAGAGTGAATTGGAAACAAAGAGATACAACACGGAACATGTAAAACATTTAAAATCAGGCCTTCCTGCTGTATCCGATTGACCACGGAACAATTGCGATAAACATCTTTCATGGACTAGAATGACTTTAGAGAATATTTTTCAATATTTCGGAAAAAAAGACGTGGAAAGGATTTTTAAATAGGTAAGAAAGCAATCTATCGAATTTATACAGTAAGTTTTATTTTACGACGACGAAACAATGAGAAGTGGGAGAAACTGTTTTCTCGTGTTCAAAAGAATTCGATATTTCAAAATGTATTAAATTACACTGGGTTACAAAAAAATGGTCATGTCGTGTTTATTTAAAATTTACTGTGTTTATTGAAAGTTTAGGTGTCACAGAATAAGAATATACCAGAAAAACTTTTTTTCATTCGGTCATTCCCTTAAAAAACGAGTTTAAAGTCTCAAAAAACCGTATTTTTAGCACTTTTTGAGGCAGCGTAACAAGAAAACGCAACATGATAAAAATCTCTACAAAAGCTTAAATAAAAGCTTAAACCTTCAACTTTAAGGCTCAGAACTGAAAAGTACTTAAATAAGCACTGAAAACCTGCAGTCACTATCTGAAATTATCAAAAAAGCTGGGTTAGGTAGCACTTGGTAAAAATCAATTTCCCTAACCGGATTCGGTTGCAAATTGTTATTTTAGGTTTTTGAGGTTTCTAATGACGAATTGGAACTTAGATTTGAAAAATTTCAAAGTGGCGGACTCAATTTTTTAAAATTATTAACGCAAATTTTGAAAAATTGAGTGAATTCATTATTTTCAGTCCGCCATTTTGAAATTTTTAAATCTAAGTTCCAATTCGTCATTAGAAACCTCAAAAAACTTCAAATAACAAGTTGCAACCGAATCCGCTTAAGGAAATCGATTTTTACCAATTGCTTCCTGTTCTAGCTTTTTTTGACAATTTCAGGTAGCGACTGCTTAATTAAGGAGGTTTTCATTGATTATTTAAGTACTTTTCAGTTCTGAGCCTCAAAGTTGAAGGTTTAAGCTTTTATTTAAGCTCTTGTAGAGATTTTTATCATGTTGCGTTTTCTTGTTACGCTGCCTCAATAAGTGCTAAAAATACGGTTTTTGACACTTTAAACTCGTTTTTTTAAGGGAATGACCGAATGAAAAAATGTTTTACTGGTATATTCTTATTCAGTGACACCTAAACTTTCAATAAACACAGGAAACTTTGAATAAACACGATATGACCATTTTTTTGTAACCCAGTGTTATTTTTAAAATTTAATATTGAACCATTATTAATTCAATATTACTGATTATTAATTTAATATTGTTGATTATTAACTAAACATTGTTGATTATTAATTTAATATTGTTGAACTAATATTTTTAATTTAATATTATTGAACTAATATTAATTAATTAATATTAATGATATTAAGGTAATATTATCTAACTAATATCATTAATTTGATATAATTTAATATGTGGAATATTAAACACTGAAGCAATCGTAAATTTTGAAGAAATATAAAAATTCGAAAATCTTTTCGAAGTTCAAATTAAAAATTTTTTTTTTTAAATTGTCCAAAATTGACACAACTAATAAATTGAAAGAATGTATTAGTAATTAATTTCTTGAAAGAGTGTAGAATTTTCGCGAATGGTAAAATTTGAACTTATTTTCGTTCCCTGCGAACGTAGAATACAGAAAAATGTCACAAGTGAATGGAAATCAATTTGTTGAAAAATTTCCCATGGGAATATTTTTTTGCATTCGCCAAAATATTAAAAAATTGAGAGTCGAATTTAAGAAATGGTTTGAAATTTTGAATTATGATTGGAATAACTAAAAATTGAGATTCTTCTTGTCACCTTGCCACAAAACATCTTCACACTGATTGTTTTCAATTCTTTCGAATGCTGCAGTTCTTTTTCTCGTCATCACCCTGAAAAACTGCAGCTGGGCCCTTCTTCATAAGACAGGGATTCGTTTCTTTCAGTAAATTTATTGTTTAGCATATGAATGGTTTTTGCGTATGTACGGTGAACCCTTTTTTGGGCATATTGTAAAGAGTTGAATAAAGTTTATAAGGAAGCAAAAACCTGTCCACGTGAGTGTTGGTGCCGCGCGTTTGGGTTTTAGGAGCGCGCGGGCGCAAGGCTTTTTTTTCGGGATGAGCGAATCACGCATACATGTGCGCGGGGTTTTTTCTTTTTTATTCGAACCAGGTATGTACGTATATTTAAAGAGAGAAGAGTGAGTTGTGTGTATATTCTCACACACATATTTCTTGAACCAGGTGTTTTATTTCGAACCGTGGGACTCTTTAAGAGGATGGTTGCACCATCACATTCGCACATACGCGTGCCTGTACTCGCGTGCTCCTTTTTCTCACATATACATGGGTACATCTTCCCCGCGGGTTCAATGGAAAACAGGATTTATTTTCTATGGAGGCACACTACTTTTATTGTGCTCACTCTTATTCGATCGAACATAACGTACCTACGAGTTCTCTTTCCTTCCATAATTCTTTGATCAAGTTTTCTTTCTCTCTCTCCTCTCTCTCTCTCTCTTTCTCTTTCTCCCTTTTTTTCACATTATTATTCGACTCGCTCTATTTCATTCTTATCTTCTTCTCACTTATTCTCGCCCTTATTTCTCGTCTCATCCCTTACTTTCCTCTTTTTTCTATCCTCTCACTTTTTATTCCCCTTGAACTTTCTCCTCTCTTTATTTTTTTCCTTTCTTTCTTTCGAATAAATTTTTTTTTCTCGAGAGAAAGAAAGAAACTCTTTCTAAAAAATTTATTCGAAACGAATTAAAATAGTTGACCTGGAGGAGAGCATATGATATAAAGCGGACGAGACGCTGCGTATAGGGAGACAAAGAGTATATATATATATATATATATATATATATATATACTATATCCAAAATCCATTCCTTTTGAAAATCGAGGATCCGAATCGGGTCCGGTGAAATGGGAGAGGGATGCGAATTACACAAAGAAATTCTCTTCCCCCAATACGCTTCATCCCCCTCTCTCTCTCACGGTTAGAAAACACAGAGAGAGAAAAAAAAGAGAGTGTATTTTGTAACCGTTTCAAACAACGGTTGATATGGAAAAAAGAAATAACGTTTGTGCGAGTCGAAAAAAGTAAGGGAAAAAGCATATATATAGACGAGGTGAAATTTACCTTTTTGGTTGTTGTCAGGGTGCGATAATAACAGTCGTTATGCACCGGACAAATCCAGGGGACTTTTACTGTTTGGATATATATAAATGCGTATATAGGAAAAAGAATGCAGATAAATGCTTGTTGCCTGTGCCACCCTTCTAATTCTCCCATGGGGGGTTCCCTCGATCTGATTTCCTTGTCCTAGAGAGCTATAGTGTCGAAACTGAATCCACGTGGCATAATTCTTTGTGTTCGATTACCTCGGACAAAAAAAGAGAGAAACGAAAAAATACCGCAACAAATAATTATTGTCTCGTCGTTAAAAAATAAATAAATTATTTCAAATAAATATTTATTATATGTAAATACCTAGATTATTATTTTGTAAAAATTATTCGTATTAAATACGTTTTTTGATAAATAAGAAGATAGGGAATATTTTTTATTTAGAAATTTGTATTAGAATATTGTTCTACTTGTTTGATTGCATCGAGACTTGTTGATTCGAGTTTAGGAAATAATTTCTTTTATACAAAAAAATATTGTGAGAAGTGCCAATATTTTTTATTAATTTTATTTTAAACTTCTCAAATTAATATAAAAATGAAATTTTTATTAACATTTCTAAATTTCTTTTTCAGAAATTAATATCATTGCAGTATAATTCGGAGCAATTTTTCGCAGTAAATCAAAACTGTTTTTAAATTAACTAAAAAAACCGAGTGACAAAATTAAATATTCATTATTTAATTAATTTATTCACTTATTTAATTATTTTAGTAAATTTAATTATTTTTATTATAAAAAACAATTCGCAACTATTTTGAAACATTTTTTGTCTCAATATTGATATTCTTAGAAAAACTGTGAATATTTTAATTTATAATAAAATAATTAAATTTGTAGATAAAATTAGTTAAATTCACAAATAAAAATAATTAAATTTACTAAAATAATTAAATACCTAAACTTTTTTTATTTATGAATTTAATTATTTTATTATAAATTAAAACATTCAGTTTTTTCTAGAATATCAAATTGAGACAAAAAAGCATCAAAAATTGTTGCGAAGCAATGTTTTGATACGTTTTTTGTCTCAATTTAATATCCTTAGAAAAACTGTGAATTTCAGTTCATTTTTAGAAAAATAGTTTTCTCTAAAATCGTCTTTAGTATTCAAATTATTTGAATTTTTTTTATTAAATCTTAAAAAAGAAATGTCTATTTAATTTATTCAAGTATTTGAATATTAGTTTTATACGAATTTGATTGAATAAATATTTTATCACTTAAATCAATTTTTATATTAATAAAGTATTTCGGTATTTCTAAGTGAAATTAATTTTCTTTTTCAAATTTAAATATATTTTTTTTATCAAAGAAATTATTTATTAAGTTAATTTGCTGAATAATAAACTTTAATGAAATGATATTTTTTGAACCAAAAAAAGTATTTTCAGAAGTAAATGAACTATTATTCAAATTGAAATATTTATTTATATTTAAATTAATTGAATATTAATAAATATAGAGTAATTTAATAAATCTAAAATTATAAAATACTAAAATAGCGTAAAATAATAAATAAAAAATAATAAAATAATTGAATTGAATATTAAATATTACATTATTATTAAATATTAATAAACATTACTTAAATAGGCATTAAATTTTTAATAAATAGAAAATTAGAGGAAGAAATTTACAAGTTTTTTCTTTCATCGTAGTAATAATTTAGAGAAAAATTATTAATTGCTTTGATCAAATGATCAATTTAATTGAGAATTTTACAAAAAACAGAAATTTTGGTAAAATTCTTATAATTAAATTGATCGTTTGACCAAAACAATTAATAGTTTTTTATTTTTCTCTAAATTAAATAAATATTAATTATTATTAATTGTTAATAATTAATTCAATTAAATTATATTTTATTTAGTTATTTATATAATTTGACCTAATAATTAAATTATTTACTTTAATATTACTATTAA